TTGGGCAAATTCTGTTCTGTTCGGCCATATTTCATTCTTACAGCTTGCCCGGGTCTTGCTTTAATTCGTATCAGTTAGTCACTTATATCTATGAACAGGCTTTACCTAGTAGAGTCCACAGAGATAAATGCGGCAATTGCGTTAGATATTGTTATACAGAGTGACCACTTTTCCAATAGGAGGTCTAAGACATGAAGTATTTGAGTAATGGTTAATTTAAATTAAATTATCCGAGGTGGACTAAGAAATGTGTTAGAACAACCACATTCATATATGTACAAAAATTATTAATCAGAATTGAAATTTTGAATACAACACGGTGAACTGTGCAATTAGTACTTCTCATTTATCAATTTTGAGTTAAAATCTTCCGAAATGGTTTGCAATTAGAGAAAGATGGTTTGCACTTTCCTTTCTTGACTCTTTACGTTCTATTAAAATGCATAATGCATATGGTTGAGGTTTTGCAAAAAAAATCGTACGTATATTTCGCCATTCATTAAAAAAATGTCACTTTAAGAACCAGACTGATTTTTGAAGAATAAAATTAATAATTTTTTAAATAAAACAGGAAATGAGCATATTCACATAGGAAGGAAATGCTATAATAAAAGAACCTGAATTATAAAAAAATATTTGTTAGTCCACTGCTGATAATTAAGTTATGCATGTAAATGCTTGTTTTAAAATTTTGGAAATTTCCTTAAATGTTTTTCAAATATACTTCCACAGGTTACTCTAGCCTCTGGAAGTCTTTTTTAAATAAATTTAAGGAAATTTCGAAAATTTTGAAACAATACGATATAAGTCGTGTATTTAGAATTACGCCGAAATAATTAATAAAGAAAAAGAAGTTCCCTTTTTCTTAATAATACTAATTCTGGTTAACTTCGCATAGAGGAGTGCGAGTATAATATTCTAACGCTTTGCAATCTGTCCAGTGTCTTTAAGTAAGTCAGAACTAGTGATACTAAGTTTAATAGCATATTTTTCAAGTAGAGATCTTGCATTTTTTCTAATAATAAAATCTCAGACTTAGGAATAGTAAATCACGATCTATTATGTTCCCATTATTGTTTATAATTGATTTAATATGAGTGCAAATTTTCCATACGTCCAGGGACGATCTTGCAGCCTTCAAACGTAAAAGGGTGTTAGCAAATTAGCATGCTTTTTGATCACTGAAGGTACATGGGCCAAGTCCCTAGGTGTTATCCTGATAAGTAATATGCTAACTTGGAGGTACTTCATTGCTTGGAAAAGCACCATATCATTTTATCAGTTACACTAATTCAAATCATATTCGTTAAATGATATTGGATTCAAATTAAATATGAAACTGAATCAGATATAATGTATCACCCAGCACCAATAAGGTGTCGTATATAAATATTTTTTAAATGTTAAGATTGTGAGGAACGTTATTGTATACTTGGACCGGAAATATAGTGCATGTACAACCGACTCCGTGATTAACTTTGCTTAAAGTTTATTACTCCAAAACCGCATCTCCTTATAGAACACCCTGAAGAACAGACCCGTCTCCGTAACCATTCCAGGACCGTCCTAGGAATTTATTTACCTGCACTAACAAGTATGGTTTCAATCTTTTTCAGAGAAATTCTTGAAACATGTACATAAAAAAATTTGTACAAAGTAACAATTTCATTACATTTCTACATAGTATCATTATTAATATACATAATATTAGATATAATAATAATAAAGATTCAGTCACTTACTTTTGAACTTTGAACTGATATTTATTCCACCTCTTGTCGAATTACGGTTATGGTACTATCACTAAATTTTGGTGCGGTGTTATTTCATTCGTTCATTTAATCATTTCAATTGGGTTAAATTTACAATGGAAACAATGTAAATAAATGCATTAAAAGTATGAAAAACTTGCACCACCTGAATTTGTACAATACTGTGCCAAACCAAACTAACGCTGTCGAATCGATCTTGTAGTCTTTATTAAAAAAATTTATTTATAATAATTCCAAAAGTTTTTTCGTGTAGCTTTCTTCAAAATATAAATCATTTTTGTACAGTAATTCTTTTATTTCTTCTTTATTTGAAAACGCATTTGGAATTTTTCTAATTTTTGCTGAATGATAAGACATTATCCAACACAATAACAGTACTTGGCAATAGTTTTGGCAACAGTTTATTTTCAAACCAACCATTTTTACTATGCGTTTTCCATGTGTCGTGAGTGTCGAACCAGGTTTCGTCTAAATACACTATTGGTCTATTTTCATTTCATTTAAATAATCCACCCTCCATTGCGTTTATTAATTGTTTGGAACTGAAAATCCACTTTCTTCTTTGGCACAACTAAATTTAAGTCTGTCAGTACTTTTTTATGCAGTTCTTCTAGGGTTAAAAAACCATTCATTTTGTGTTAATCGACTGGCGCACAAAACGAAAATGATTATTTTCAAACTTACCTGAAGATAAACAGAGTCCAGTTACTTACCCTTACGTACTTACTGGAAAGATCACAGTCAAATACCTCTGTAATATATACGAACATATTGCAATTTAAGTTAAACTTTTAAGAACATTAAGAAGGTCTGCTGTAAAATACTTAAAACGTCAAAGCAATAAATGCATTATATTTTTGGTCGTATCGGTTATGGGCTATAGAACATTCTATGATCTATCTATGATTCTATGACACAAAACTACAAAGTGTAATTTAAGTTAAATACGAAAGTTGCTTGTGCTAATTTAGACTTTCCATTTACTATGTTTTCATGAATAGAGGGTGACACGTTTCGCCGTGGCCACTACCAACTTTTTTATTTCAAATGGAACATCCTGCATGTTTATACTGATTTAGACCCTTCGAAAAAGGAGTTCAACGATGTATGGGGTTTAAACGGAACGTTTCGGAGTTATTGACGTCAATTTTTATTATTGGCCCGATATTTAAACTGAGTTATCTAATCTTGGCATTCATTTATTTTGCGAAACTTTCATTTTTATATGATAAAAATCTTATAGTTTTTCCCGTACTTCGTGTATCATCAGTTTTCTGAAACCCCCATGTGTTATACTATGTCTAGATAGACCAATAAAACGAAAATTCAACAATATATAATATGTTTTATGCAAATATGGTACCTGCTTTGCGAAATTTTATCACAAATTTGCCATTTAGGCAATTCAAAACAAAACTAAAAGCACATTTGTCGGACTATTATTTCTATTCGACTGAGAAAATGGACCATAATTCATAAACTCTCCATGAATATGTAATGGGAAAGTGTAAATTTTTGAGAATGAGACTTAACAAAAACGTCATATTATTTTCTATCCATCTCGTCTTTTTAAAAGGGCTAACGATGCGAAAAATTGGGAAGCCGTTACCCTAATCATACGACACTTTGTGTTGACGCTATAGGGGAAATTTAATCCCTCGTGAAAAATAACGCAGGACGCATATCTTTCGGAAATGTTATTTTGTGACTTTCAATTAGTAGATAATATCTGCAATGCTAAAAATCTGGAAAAAATTCAAATTGATTTTTGAAAAAAAAAGTGATTTTTAAAATATTTTGTTTTTGACAATTTTTAAGGATTTGGACCCAATTTTTCTTTCTTAAACGCTGGTCTACTTTGCACCAATTATATGTTCCGATTCTAGTTGGGAGTGTTGAAAAAAATCTGTACAAATGTAAAAATGTTCTTGCAAGGTCTAGTTTTATCTTCAATAAATTTTGTCAGAAGCGCTCGAAGTTCTGAAACTGGTGTGCCCCGGCTTCTATTGGATTTCTAATTAGCGATTCTCATTTCATTCATATTCGACTCAACTCCCGTTGATGGGGTGTAATCCATTTCGTAATTTAATTTCCAGATTTGAAAAGCTAATAAATCATTAATACCTTGGATGTGTAAGTAATAAGGTATTGAGTATGGTTTCCGTAGGATGTTCATAAACATCACTGAGTCGCAGTTCGATTTTATTCTTTAATTTCTACTTGTACGTCGTTTTTGTGATATTTAACCCAAATTCTCAATATATTTCTTTGCCTCTGGTAGATTCTAAAATAACATATATTTTAGACTTTTTCATTCTTGTCTTTGTTTCTTCTTTTTATAATATTTATTGTTAAAAGCGTTATATTTTTTATTCTATTATAATATAACTAAATTAATTAGATCGTTATAATGAAGGGTTTTCAAACTAAATCCTAACAATTATCATATACAAATAGGTGAAATAAAACACCAATTATACTAACTAAAGAAGTTTCGAAGTGAAAATGTCAATTTTAGTATAAAAGTTTTTAAATTTCCAGATTGGTTTCCAAAATTGATCCTGTTTTATAATAATAATAAGCCTTTTAAATATCCAAAATTTTAAAACGTCCTTAAAATATACATTTTTTACTCAATTTTTGGAGTTTTTTATCTTTGTTTTATTTTAACATTTTTGCATTTATAAATGTAGTTAAGCTATTTCAAACATACGAGTATATTTATAGAAAACACAGACAACAATGTTATATTCCAAAAATCGCATTTCCAAAAATATTGTTAGTTCCATTCAGTTGGATAACAAACGTATTGGTCTGAGTTTTATTAGGGACGTTAATGACCAGAGTTTTTATATATTACCTTTTATGGAGGATGAGCTCTTGCATATTTTAAAAAATAAATTGAAAAACAAAAAGTCTTTTGGATCCGATGGCGTACCAACATTTTTATTAAAAAGAGTATTAGGTTTGATAATAGGTTCCCTAATATTCTTGGTCAATCTGTCTTTTCTAAATGGCACATTGCCATCTTGTCTAAAAAGAAATAGTCGTCAGTTACCGGAGAACTGTCGTCCAGTAATAACTTCAAACAGTGTTTCTAAAGTGTTTAAATATCATAGTGTTACAGATAACCAACATGGACGTGGGGTGCTCGATAGATTGATGAATATCAACGCAAGCAAAACCCAAACTATGAGGTTTCATAATTACCAGAAACAATGTGATAAATTTAATATCTGTTTAGGCGATAACACTATCGCAAGTAGGAATACTGTGAGGTTTCTAGCATTGACTTTGGATGAATGTTTAAAGTGGATGTCTCATTGTGATACTCTTATTTCAACTCTAAATACTGTAAATAATCTTATAAATCTTGTTGAGATTTTAACTAGGCAACAGTTGCTTAATTTATACTATGAAAAAGTGTAGTCCCGGTTACATTATGGGATCCATTTGTGGGTGCGCCTATAGATGCCGATAAAGTATTTTTGACTCAAAATCGTATTTTAAGAAGTATTACGCATATTTCCAAGTTTACATCTTCTAGGGGCTTATTTGTCCAGTACAAAACTCTCACTCTGGCGAGTCTATTAATTTTTGAAATGTCATTGTACGTTTTTAACTATTTATCGAATGTTACGTTAGTTTTTGACGTACATTCTAAGCATACAAGACAGAGCGGTAAGCTGCTGGTTCCCTACTGTAGGCTGTAGACGACCTCGAGGTTACCTGATTATTTAGGTGTTCGTATTTTTAACAATCTGCCATTGGAGTTAAGAGGCAAAAGTGTCTATTTAACCAACAAATAAAAATATTTTGTTATCCAAAACATTTTATAGTTCGGAAGAATTTTTTTGAGTAAATGTTTTTTTATATGTCCGTATATATAGTACTTATTATGTATTTTGACGATTCATATACCATTTTGTAGTTGTCTGAGGGAAAATAATTATTATTATTATTATAGTCGGCTTTTTTGAATTTTGACCAGTGTGCGGCCGATCGGATCTTGAAAATCTGGTCCATCAGCGGGACCCGGGGAAGAAATATGTTCGTTTCGCATTAAAACGAACGGACGACCACTCTGGGCTTATAAAAGGTAATCTGCGAGTCAATGGCCAGTCACACCGCGCCTCTCTCTTTCTGTGTATCGTTGTTTCACATCCATCGCATCGGGTCGGCATGCTGGTTTTCCGGATTTCAACCCTCTTCATATTACCTCTTCTCGTGTATCAAACCGGTGCGTAAATTTGCGTAAATATTTTTTTTTTGTTTTCTACGTGAATTCGTTCGATTTGCAAGGGACTTCTGGTGAAAGAGTTTTCCATTATTTTGCAGATGGAAAACCAGCGTCCAGTGCCAAAGCGCGTCAGTATATCCCCCCTTTGCCCGGATTAGTGCCAGTTTATATCAGGCCGGGCGATACACCCTTGCAGGATATTAATTTAGATTTAGCGAAGGCGTTCGCTTTCAACGTACAAAAACACGGCAGACTAGCGTTCGGAAGGCAAATAAACGAAATACTAAGTACGAAATCTAAAAATGACGAAGACGAACTTTCAAAAGTCGACGAAGACGACGAGTTTTTCGAAAAAAATCAGAGCGAAAACGATATCGAACCGGATTACCATCATATACAGAAAATACCTAAACACTAATGGCTGTAATTTTGTTTTTGTATTTATTTGTTGTAAATAAAATTTCGTAGTTCCGCACAACGTCTTATTATGACGAATTTTGAGCTTTTTAATTTTACGCGGGATACTAAAACCGACACCTTTGTTTAAATATGAACTAGATAGAACGCTTATCTTATCTTTGAGCCAAATGTGTAATGAATGTAGGGCAAGTGACAGTGGTGAATTTACCGAGGTATGTATCATAGATTTCTTTTTTCCCGTTTGATATTTTTTAAGGTTTTCAATCGAGTTCAATGCCGCAAAGGCCTAATCATAAACGCAGATCCCCACGGTAGACTAATAGATACATTATTTAATGTAGTCGAGTTACAACGCGGTATATGCAAATGCGCCTGCAGCAGGGTCCGTTCTATAATATTTGCTTGGCATATTTTCGTTTAACATGCGCTCTTCATTTTTAAAACGTATCTGCTTAAGCCGGGACGAATGGCTTCAAACTGTCAACACCCCTACATCGGTCACGTGATTATCATTGTGCTAGAAAACCTTTGAAAGTTATATTAGGTCCAATATTGTTATTGCAGAATACTAATACATGAAAAAATTTTACTTTAATTTTTCGAAATATGAAATTATTAACATAATATGTCTCCAAACCATCGAACAATCTACATAGGGCTAAATATTTTTTTGCAAAAATGAAGAAGTGAATATTATTGTTTCAAAAACTCTTCAAAAGTAATTTTAAAAATGTATTTCGATAAAATCATGTTAAGAATATTAATAAACTTTGAGTTTTTAATCTAATTCGTGGTATAAATAAAGTGGCATATAATGAACTTTTATTTGTATTATTATTACACATCTATTTATAAATGTTGGCCCACTTTTATGTTTTATGGAAAAAACAAATTTTAAACTATATATAATGCACGCTATTTCTATAGGGCTTTTGAGTGATTTATGAATGTGTTGCCTATGACAGTTCTATAGTAATTTCAAAAAGTGATACTGCTATAACAGCTTTTAGAAAGTTTACATTAATTATTAATTAGATTATTTAATTAGGTAAGAGTTATTTTGAGTTAATGTTTTTGCTGCGTTTTATAATAGAATTGTTGTCTAATCAATGTTTAGATTATACATTAAATGTTACCTTACAATAAATAACTTTTGGATGAGCTTATAGACAGTTGATAATATCTAGTCTTTTACTTTTTCATAACTTATAATATATATTCATGGAACACGATTTCGGTAAATCCTTACAAGCCTATAATAATAATACCAATACAAACTAATATGGTTACACATCTCAAAGGGCGAAGTCTTCATTTTCCAATTGAATTTTGTTATGATCACGCAAAAAATTATAGTTTCCAGCAGGAGAAAATAGCACATCTTGTACGTTTTTTTAGAATTTAGCTTAAGTTCTTTTAAGATCCAAACTAAGATTAGCTTCGACTTTATCATCAAGTAATTGAAGTAAATTTGTGCTGTAACAGCAGGTGTCATCAACATCAGAATGTGTACAAGAAATACATCAAATGCCCATGAATTGAACCCTGTGGCCCTCGCGAAGTAAAGTTACCCAAATCTAACGAACTGCTGCCTATTATTTAAATACAAGTGGAAAAGAGATACAGATCGATCGCTGGAACCAAAATGCTTTAGTTGTAGCACATAACTAATGATCCACACAATCGCATTTGAAAAGTGAAGTAAGACCAGTATCGTTGATTAATGTGCATTAAAGCAGTATTTAAGCACTATTTTATTCTACATTTTGTGTAGTTTCAAAAGAAGATATAAGAAATATTGCCCCAACAACATTTTTGTTTTGTTCCAACTATATTGAATAAATATTAATATAATAATAAATATTTTTTTTTATTATACCCGGGTAAATATTAAGTACAGCTAATGAGTGGAAATTTTGATTTTTTTTATTTTTTCAAATCGATTGTACATTTTAAATAGAATGTTTTCGAATCGGGAAAAAGCTCCAAATAAACTGCCCCTTACTTCCAAACAGTGGGCAAAATTTTTGAAAAAATCCCGTATATAAAAAAAATTAATTTGACAAAAATATTATGTATATTAAGATAAGAATATATGTTAGAAATAGAACTAGATCAGTTGATGTTCTGTTTATTTAAATAAAGAAGCTGAAATAGAAAAATTTGTCAAAAAAATATCAAAAATGACAACTTTTTAAAGAATATTTTTAATAAATACGCTGTAGCAATGTTGTTTCGTTGAAATTTGTAAAAAACTTAGTGCTCGATTTGTCACCCTGTATAATAAACATTGCACTATGGGAGAAGCTTTTTTATAAACGTAGATTGGATAAAATTTCGATAAAGGTTCCCTAATTTCTGGAAGAAATACAATTCTTAAAATAAGCAAATTAAAAAAAAAAAACAACCAAAAAAATTTTTTTTTATTATTTGCCAACCAGTTTTAATGAAATTTTTGTTCAATATAATTTACAATATTTTTAAGAATCAAATTGTTCAAAACAATTTAATTCATTTAGTATTGCTTCCTGAACCCCAAATAACTCCAAACCGAGTAATTTTTTTGACTTTAGAGAAGAGTGCCTTTGTTATGGCCAACTGTTGACAAAAATCATAATAAAAGTTTGAGACAGAAGAAGCTACGTTCCTGTACAAAATATTGAAACATTGTCAGCAATAACTTTTATAACCCAAACAATGGTAATTGTGGAATAAATTTTATTTAGGCATCTTAAAGTGTTTCAGAAGTAAAAAAATATATATCTTTTTTGGACCCCTTTTCAAGAGCGTGTTGTGAACCACAATTATTAACCAAACTAACGGAAAACACTTTTTCAAGCTTTAAAAGTTTTGTTTCAAACATTGTTATCGATAAAAAATTAATTTGCAGGATTTTCTATAAAGGCCCTAAGTCCTTTAAATGTGGTCTTATAAAACTTCATGGGTTATGCGCTCACGTAGCGTCGATTGGGATATAAAGTTAAGGAAACTTATATCGAACTTAGTTGTAAATATTGGCAGTTTGGAAATCTCGGTAACAAGATTGACGTTGGATCAACTTTTGGACCTAATTGGTTATTAGGTCGTCGACAAAGTTAAGGGAAAGTGGTTTCCGTTCGTTTTCATTAAACAAAATTTATACTTTCGTGCTTTTCTACTATTTATATATCATTGGTAATAACGAATCCACTGTCCAAAACTAATACGAGATTATTTTTGTCGCTTATGCTATTATTAAAAACGACATTCCTGGTCTTCTTTTTCTCCTCGTTAAAGAGCGTCTCTCAAAATAACTAATGTTTGAATATTTTTAGGCAAATTTGTTTTTCGGCGGTGTATTTGGGATACTTCCGTTAGACAAAACTTATTGTTTAGTCGAATCATCTCTGTCTGACTATTACATGCGGTTCTTTTAATACTTTCATAAATAACAATACGCCTCAATTAATCATTAAAAAATGTTACTTCCTGTTCGGCGTTGATTATTATATTCTTTGAATAAAATAATGACTAATTTCGTTACATGATTACCTGTACCAGGAATTCAAAATTAATTACGATATGAGTTTATGTCATGGTTATTTAGGAAAATGGTTGATTGTTGATGGCAAATCGAAATTATATTTACTCTACAGGAAAACTTTTTTTGAAAAATGTGTCGAAGACAACAATAAAAAAATGTCCATAATGGTTGGAAACTCACGCTTATCGGGCAATTTCAATTCGATAAAATAGATAAGCCGGATATAGGGTGGTCTTTACAATACGCCATCAATAAACTTTGAAATTTTGTGCAGGTAATTTAGTTCATCGTTTCTGGGATTAAATTCGACAAATATATGTCTATACCCCATCAAAGTGTAACGTTTTATCAGTTCCTTATTATCAGTTATTATCGTGTTTATATTATAGCATTAATCTTATCTATGACTAATTGTGTAAAAATGGTTGTATTTTTGATACACAGGTGACTAAAAGACGGTGCGGGCGTGTCAAAAATCTCGTAACCTCGTTTGATTTTATGAAGATATGTATCCTTGGTCCGTTGCTTTGTTCGTGGTGTGGGTGACGTCAGCGTTTTGCCAAGAAAATGCAGGTAGTAACGTCGGTCCGGGACTTATGGCGTGTTACAACGATTCGGCTATACCTGGGGTTCTAACAGCCAATGGGCGACCACCCGCGACTATCAATATCCTTATAGAATTTATTAGGAAATTAGAGGATGCCAACCCAACAATCAGCAGTCAGCAACTGGCACTTCAATTAATTCAGAGGTAACCCTTTCAATCACAACCAAATCCGATTGAAATTATTAAATTATTTCAAGATTTCGTCAGGATGGAATTACAAGGACGGATAGGCCAATAGAAAGTCAATACGGCATTCCTTTCGCTGCTAGAAGAGCCGAAACTTACAAGTTCCGGGTGATGTCGACCAAATTATTGCCAAACGTCGAACAGACTATCAGCAATGGTGATTTAAACGAGTTGGAGAGGGTATGTAAAGTTACCCTGTATAACGTTTTTATGATGAAGCTTTTTAATGCCGAAAGATTCAACCACCTCTGGATAAATAATAATTGGCAAACGAAAAAACGATTAAACCAGAGATCTCGCTGCTCACATTGACTGACCCCCATTACGGATAAGAAATAATACTCATTGCAAGTTTTAATTGGATAAGGTACATGAAGCCGATTATAGTTGCCCTTTCATGTCGCTATATCCTTCAGTCGACTTGAATTTCTGTTTGTTATAGGCGAACTATAAGCAAATTTGTTTTATTAAAGGCATATATCGACAAAGGAAAGGCAACATACGTCCGCAGTGTCCCATCAGAGCGGATTTTGCATGTAACATTCTGAGAAATACGAGAAAAGCCTTGATACAAAAGTTTCGCAAATTTAAGTGGTACATACTTCAAAGTTAATTTGAAAATAACTTAAGTTTCTTCATTCCATTGAAAAATAGAATTCAAATTTCTTCTTCGTTGGTTTCGGAAAATAGAAAATTTGATTTTTACCGACATAGCCCCTTTTTTTTTCTATTTATCACCAAACTACAAATATAAATTAACATATAAACAGTGTTTCAACTGGGAAACGGCAAGAGATAACGAAAAAAGTAAAATTTGCGGTTTTGAGGTTATTCTACAAAATCTAGAAATACATTTTCATTTTAACGTACAGACGTATAGACCGCCTCCATATACAGACGGCCTCCATATACAGACCGCCTCCATATACAGACCGTCTCCATATACAGATCGCCTCTGTATACGGACCGCCTTCGTATACAGACGGACCGTCTTTGTATATGGACCGTCTTCATAGAGAGAACACTTTCATAAATAGATTGTTTTTACAAAGAAATTATAGACTTATATAAACAATCAATTTATCTTTTTTTTTTAATACAATAAAATAAAAATAAAATAAAAATACCAAACATCTTACGAATAAGGAAATCTTTTTACTTACATTTTTAATACAAAATAATTTTTGCCACATTTCATTTTATTTTTTTTTTAATTATAATTAAATATAAATTAATAATACATAATAATAATAAATTCAAAAATATGTATTTAAAACTACATTAGTACCAAAAAATTTTTATTTCAATTTTAATTTTCTTTTACCAAAACAAATTATTATATTCAACATAAAAATATTATATTCGACAATTTAGTCACGAGCGGACCGCAGCGGAGCGAGTGTCTAAAAAAACATATGGTTAAAATATATTTAATTTATGGATATTTCCATTTACATCTCATTTTCAGTTTTATTTAATTTCATTAAATATAAATTAATTAAATATAAAAATATTATTTCAAACAGTTTAATCACGACCGGAGCGCAGTAGAGCGAGTTTCGTTTTTCTGAAACGATCATCAACTTTAATTTTAATACTCATAGGTAAACTTTATTGGTCGGATATAATGTACCACGTGACAAAGGTCTACCTGGGTCGAACAATGTGGCCAAAATGGTACTCAACAAAATCCGTTATTTAAGTCAGTCGCCTTTGTAAATTGTTCGCCTCAGGGTGGTACCCGCGCCATATATCTTCTCGACAATATATTAATAGTAAGTACGTAAATACATCATGTTGATTAAGTTAAATCAGATGTGAATGTAAGAAAGCTCCCTGTCAGTTTTAAGAATTTTTCATTTAAATCGAATTAAATTTGATTTCACAGCGGCAGCAAAAACATTTTTGTGATGTCGGATGAATTTAGTTTGAACTCGTGTAAGATTATTCGATGTAATTCCATCCATTTATCCGAATTATTCGAAAATTTAAATATTTTACATTACTCAACATACATGATCGACGGACGATGAAATTGTTCGAACTGAACTATAAAAAATAAATAAATAAAATATTTCAAAAGCGATACGATTTTATAGGATCGGGAAAAATATTTTAAAATAACTTTAAAGCCTTTTAAAATAATATGAGAAAAACATTAAGGGATTTTACAATTTGCGCAAGAAGTGTTTTAGAATAGTAATAACAATAATAATAATAATAATAATAATAATAATAATAATAAATGTTCTGTGAGTAATCACAAGCAACCTCTACGATACTTCCGTTATAAAGTTATTATAGAGGTGTTGGAGAAAAAGAGAAAATTTTGTACCACGCTGGAAAAATTCCATTGCACATATAAAGTTCTACAAAGTGTAGCATAATTAGAATCTGGACTATTGTTTTTAAACGCTCTTTTATGTTCGTTAACGCGTTTCTTGAAGGATCTACCTATTTGTCCAATATGAATTTTAGGACAAGATCCGTATTTCAACCCGTAGACACCTGATTTTTGAGATTTTGGACATTTCGTTTTGTTTTTTAAAAACTTTTCTATTGTGTTGTTAGTTCTGAAAGCTATTTTTATACCACATTTTTATAAATGTTTTGCAACTTTTTCACTAGGTTCTCCTATGTATGTAATTGTTTTAAATGTATCAGGTTTCGGATAAATAGAGTTTACTGTTGTCTGGATTTGTTTTTTATTTATAATTTTATCGTTAATTAAGGGATTGTAGCCGTTGTTCAATTCAATTCACATACGGACACAGTCATACATAACAGCTCAAATCACCCTTATACACACAAAATGGCTGCATGTCCCTTTCTTATACACAGACTTCTTAATAAGCCACTCTCAACAAAAAATTACAACAAAGAACTAAATATCATTAAAGAAATTGCACCGAACAACAGCGGCAATCCGTCCATTATCGATAAAATTATCAATAAAAAACAGTAACAGTAACAGACAACAGCAAACTCTATTTATCCGCAACCTAATACAGAACACTAACAATTTAAAACAATTCGAATAGTTTCTCGAAAGGCTGACTCTGTCACCAGGCACTCTTTCCCGAGTTTATTTTATATGGTAATCATAGTAATAATATTTATTTCGCAAAAAGATAATACAAAAAGGATCACATTTTTTTTAGCCTTATGGTTGAAAACAATTACAAAAGTTGAAGTTCAACACCTAGACCCTGTATATAGTAATAATTGATATTGTACGACCAAATATATAGTGCATTTATTGCTTTGACGTTTTAAGTATATTACAGTAACTTAACAGGACCGTGGTAAAACCCATCCCAACAGATGTTTATTCTGCATTAAGTAGGCTTTGCCTGAGATGCACCATGACGAACATTTGTAAAAACTTGAAACTTTTATTTGAAATGTAAAGGACCTTTTTAAATTTGATTAAGAATTGATGCTGCGGGGTATTTTCCAATAAGTAGAAGCGTTTATTTTAACATCAGGAGATATGTATCGTTCTTAAGAGTTTAATCTAAATTGCAATATGTTCGTATATATTACGGAGGCATTTGAATGTGATGTGTAAGTAAAATTTTACTTTGGTTAAAAACCACTTCAGCCGCTCAGAGTTTAAGGAATTATGATACGGCCAAAAATATAGTGCATTTATCGCTTTGACAGATGTATATTCTGCATGGCGCAGGTGTTGCCTTAGATGAACCGTAAAGAGTATTTGAAGAAACTTGAAATATTTATTTGCAATGTAAATGGACCGTTTTAAATTTGATTAAGTATTGATGCTACGGAGTATTTTCGAATAAGTAGAAGCGTTTTAATTTAATCAAAATTACAGTATGTTCATATGTATTACGGATGTATTTGAATGTGTATTTATGTACCTGATTCTAGAGCTTTGACCCTGCGAGGCTGTTTTCACTGGATAGTTCAAAGGGTAAGGTAAGTACCTGTACTCTATTTATCTTACATGTAAGTTGAAAAATAATCATTTTTGTCTTGTGTGCCTGTTGAATAACAACATTCTTCTTTTTGTTTTTTTGTGTCTTCTACATAGTTCTTCGATTTGTTACAGTATTTTTTAAGACGTGTTAGATAAAGGTACATCGCAAGAATGCTGATAAATATTTATTAGAATCTTACAATTAAACATTTTTTGAAGGTTCCTGTTTTTTAACACTTTAAAATGTGAAGACCGTGTAATGAGGCAGATGTTCCCCTGTTAGAAGAAGATATGGAAAACAACGCAGAATTTGAAGACGAAGATGAGATGGCAGTCGAACCTAATGACCATTTTGAAGACGAACTACCCCAGCAGATAAAAAACGGACACATTTATCTTCGGATGCTGAACAATTTGTTTTGAATGTTTACAATTTTATAAGAAATTCAGAATGGGAATTAGGAGCAGCAATGAAAACAAATTATATAGAACGTAATAAATTGTTACTTTATACTAATTTTTTTATGTAAACGTTTCAAGAATTGCTCTGCGAAGAAGATTGAAAACATACTTATATCCCGCTTGTAAGTGTAGGTAGATAAATTCCTAGGACGGTCCTGGAATGGTTAGGGGTAAGGGGCTGCGGTTTTGGAGTAATAAACAGTAGGCAAAGTTAATCACGGAGTCGGTTGTAAATGCACTATATTTCTGGTGTATGTATACTTGCACAGTATGTCCGATCCTTATCAAGCAATAAATGAAAAGGTTTTCCACAATTGGAAATAAAAGTAGTACACAAGGAAAAACAACAAAAATGACTAATAAAACCATCAAAAAACAAACAATAAAACAAATCCCGCTCTGCGATTCTGCACACAATCCTTTTCTGTAGAGAGCTTTAAATAAGTTTAAGCTCATGTATTTTAACAGCTTTTAGACGTTATAAGAGAAAGATCTTTGAAAGAGGGTTAGTTGATGCGGTGGAACCGATATATAGCCACGAAATCTCAGGTTCAGCGTATTCACGTCGGTACGAGAGCTAACTTTATTATAAAACAGAATAACTAAATGCAATTTATGCATACTTTTCATTGTTAACCACTTTGTTAAGTTTATCGCTGTATATCTAGATGACAGCATCTGTCTACCTCACTCGCAGGAATTTTTTATATTATTTTTGGTTTAACATACACCTCCCTATATTTCGTAAAATATATTTCAATTTTAGTGTTCCCTGCACTACATGATATCGAATACCATAGACGACAGAATAAGGGATAACGAGGCGTCGGAATGCTCCAGATCATCCCGCTATACATCGAGGATTATCAGAAGACGACGGGATGTGGAACTTTTAAACCCCGATGGTCCCGATTTAGGCGTTTTGTCATTGCCACTCAATGGAAGTCAATGTCCCATTGAATTAGGGGTTGTGTACACCCAGTACGGCACGGTGAAAGCCGGCAACGTATTGGCTGGAATAGCGGCTGGGTTAAATCAGCAGAATATAGAAAACGGAGTGGTCGATAACAGATTTGCCGCTACGATAACAGGTACGCTGAATGGATATTGCCTAGATTTTGAAAATTTGTATTTGGTCTTTATTTAGGCAATACGATTGTACGGGGATCTCCTGCAATTTTTTACACACTACCTACAGGGTTGTATTAGCGTAAATACGAAAGTTTTATTTTGGACTTTGAAATTGTTTCGGCAAAAATAATATAAGTAAACTTAACTCTCCAACCAATGTCAAATCCATCTATCATTTAAAGACTCTTGCAGCTATATATAAAATTTTGTGTCATATTATTTTTGTGCAATAACAAATATTGATAAAATCGAAATAATAGCAATACCATTTATAATACCAAAACGGCGACTTTCTAAAGGTAACGCTCGTATACGGTTCAAAAATTGTAATATTTAAAGGTTTAAGTTTTAGGCTGCGCTGAACTTTTTGAAAAGAAATTTTAAAACTGTTTTAATTCATTTCAAAATTTTAATTTTTTTCTAGTGTTTTAATTCACTTTTAAATTTTGATATTAAAAAATTAGGAACAAAATAAAGGCACTTTACTTTTGAGCAAAATTCATTGCATCTTAGGTTTTACACCATTCAGAACTTTTCAAAAAGATTAACTTTTTTTTGAAAAATTGAATTAATACATTCCAATTTTTGAATTTGTAAAAGTGTTTTAATTCATATTGAAATTTTAAAAGTGTGTTAATTCATTTTATTTTACTTTTCAGATCATGCAGAACTTTTTTTGATATTTTTTGAAAAATTTAATTTCTAAAATTTTAATTTTTTTGTGTTTAATTAATTTTGAAAATTTCAAATTCAAAAAGTGTTTTAATTCAGTTTAAAATTTTAAAAGTGTTTTAATTGATTTCTAAATTTTTAAATTTGGCAAAAAATGGAAAAAAAAAGGTGTATTTTTCTCTTGAGCAAAATTCGTATTGTTCGACAACCATCGGATACGGTTCAAAGAATTCTGTATTTGATAGTTGTGCTTTACGTTTCAGATCCTGCAGAACTTTTTATAAAGAATACCTTTTTTTCTCAACTCAACTCATTGGCTCAAAGAATTCAGTATCTGATTTACTTGCATATTATGCAGAAATTTTTATATAAAATGTTAAAATGTTTAAATTTATTGAAAATTTTAAACTTTCTAAAGTGTTTAATTCATTTTAAAATTTTAAATGCTTTTTAATTCATTTAAAAATTTAAAAATTTGAAAGTGGTTTTGATTAATTTTTCAATTTACCAATAAAAGAAATGGAAAAAAGGGTACTTTGCAGTATACATGCAGAACTTTCTATAAAATATAAAAAATAATAAAATTTTTAAATAAGTAAAAAAATTGTATACCTTTTAAAGTGTTTTGATTCATTTTAAAATTGTTTTGATGTATTTTAATTTTAAAAGTAATCCGTTTTAAATTTTAAAGTTACAAATTAAAAAAAAAATGAAAAAATAAAGCGTAATTTATTCCTGAGCAAAGTTTATATTATTATTATTATTATTAATATTATTATTATTATATCGTCGTCTACGGTAAAATTTATATATTTTTTTAGTGAAATTTTAAAAATTTTGAAGTTTTAATTTCTTCTAAAATTTTAAGCGTTTTTAAGTGTCTTGATTCATTTTAAAGTATTAAAATTGTCATCATGTATTAAATAAATTAAATAAAATTTTAAATCCACCTAAAAGACCTTTAAAGTTTGAAAATTTGTTGCTTATTATTGGATTATTGGATTTTATAACCAATCACTCACTTTCGAATTTATTCTTTCGCTTATATGTATGACGTTTAATGTACTTTCTAATCGTGACTTTCTCGTCTTCCCCTGTCATATTATTATTATTTTTAAAGAAAATTTTATACATATTTCCGTATTTATTAAGGTGAGCTATGCGAAGCGTCGTTATATCAAGCGAGCTCCACCGTAGCATTGGGAGCATCGGGGGGATGGAACAGCACTATAAACCCTCGTTATTATTTCCTCCACAATAACAATCAGCTTCAAGCTACCGATGCCGAAATACGAGGGGCATTGGACGGGTTATACATGGCGCTTAGGGTGGCCAATTTGCAAAACAGCGACATAAAAATCTCCCAAATATTGGACATGTATTATTCGCCTTACCAAAAGGGCGTGCTGGATAGTTCTTTCAAGGCCTGCAACAGGAACATTTTGTATACGGAAATGACGTCGACGGAGATGATGCAGAACCAACTGTTGAATTTTATGCCAGTGTTAAATACAGCTGCAGTTTCTGGTGCTTCTTTGACTAACGCGTCTTTTGCCATATTCACCCAGGCCGGTATAACCGCTTTCCAGCAATATTTGCGTAAGGGAACGTTGGGAGGAACTGCGTTGCGGTTTTTTTGGCATGAATTATCGTTTTCAGCTCAGATCAACACCGCTGATTTGAGTTGCACGTCAGATTCGTCGGTGATTACTAGAGTCGCTACGGACCTTCTCATTTTCATCGACCACGGTTGGAGTTACAACACAGTCCAGTCTATTCTTTCGTAAGATTAACTTTCAGCGTGTTAGTAGATATTTAAGAGGGTGGGTGCTAGATTTTTCATTTCACAGTCAACAAATGATTTTCCCTAAACAATTACAGCCAAACATATTTTCTGGTTGCTTTGACCTCGATCTTTAGTATTTCAGAAACATCGGTTTTATTTTTTTATTCTACTCAAATGGCAGTTGGTATGCTCAATGCTCCAAGTTAAATTTAGTATTTCAATAATATGTTTGAGCAATTGAAATTATAACAATGGTAAATTTACACCTTATACTGGGTTATTCATTATATTTTGACACCCACCTACAGGGTTCATTTTGAAATATAGAAAAAAAAGTGTAAATACAAAAGTTTGCTCTAACCTTACACAAAAACAAACGACGATTGCAAGCAGTCAAAATGACAGCAAAATCATTTTTATTAAATGGAATGCCCTATATACTATTAATTTAAATTGTAGATCTTTTTTTACTGATTTCAAAAACATATAGGTTATTGACATTCATTCGATTTCTGGACAATTGTTAAAAAATGGTCAAGTCTGCTTTGATAACAACCATGTTATCTATGTTTGCAATTGTTTTAACAATGTTCTACTCTTGACAACTAATAAAAACTAAAGATCTGCAGCGCAAGTTAAATAACTTAAGATATTTCAAATGGGTTATGCTGAGGAAGAAAAACGCCAAATAATAAAATTATATTATTCAAACGGACATAATGTTGCAAGAGTTCCTTCAAACTCTATATTTATTATTTAGATAATTGGTAACCGGTTGGATATTATGTGGAGGTCCGCCATCTCGATGCCAAATTAATTAATTGCATCTCCGACAACAAACCATATTCTAAGAAGGACCAATCCTTTGGAAAAGTAAATGAGGAAGTGGCAAAAATAGGAAATTCAAGAGAGCTGATAATTCCTGGCCACTTTAACGCATTAACATGGTGCGTGAATGAATACTTAAAGGGTGCCCCAATACCAAGAGAATGGAAAGTAGCTCATATATCGTCAATTCACAAAAAAGGACATAAACGAGACTGTACTAACTATAGAGGTATATCGGTGACCAGTACCTTAAGCCGGTTGTATGGACGAATCCTTCGAGATCTAATAGAGCACGAATATCGAGAACAGGAAGAAGGGGAACAGTCCGGATTTCGCGCTGGGAGAACCTGCATCGATAATATTTTCACACATCACACATCATGTTTATTGACCTCCACAAAGCATATGATACTGTCCTCGTCAACAGATTGTTTCAAGTATTACAAGATACTAACATCAACTTTACCTTAATTAAAGCTCTAACAAACCTGTATGAGGAATCCACATCTTGGATAAAGATAGGTATACATTGTAGGAAAAATTCCTGATGAATAAGTGTTTACGGCAAGGCTGTTGCATATCACCTACATTATTTAAGATCTACGTGGCAAAGGCTCTAAGACAATGGAAGAGGAAGTGCAACGGTATAGGCATCGACCTTGGGGGTACATGTTTGTATACCCTACCATTTGCGGATGATCATGTTATCATGGCCAATGATAAAGAAGATCTAGAGTTCATGACGAGTAAATTGCAAGAAGAGTATAAATAATGGGGTTTGGAGATCAACATGCAAAAAACCAAATACCTACCTATTGGGGCAGAATTGTCTACTGTACAACTAGAAAATGAGGAGATATAGCCTTGCAGTGAATATACTAATCTGGCAGTGATATTTGATGCAACTGGCAAAGATGACGGGGATATCAAAAAACGAATAACTCAAGCTAGACGAACAGTTGGCTGTCTGAATGGAATAGTTTGGAGCACGGAGATGGGAAAGAAACGGAACATCAATATATATGAGACACAGGTAAAAAGTAGTCCACTATATGGTTTTGAAACGTGGAGGATAACGGAGGCCAATCGAAGGAGACTTGAAGCGGTAGAAATGGACGCCTTTGGAAGAACACTGAGAATTTCTAGAAGAGACAGGATCCGCAATGAAGAAATTAAACAACGAATAGGAATAGATTGCTCTCTAAGTACCGATATTGAAAGAAAACAACTAATATGGTACGGTCACGTTCAAAGAATGGATGATGGCAGACTTCCGAAGAAAGTAATGGAATGGATACCCCAGAACCGTAGAAAATTTGGTAGGCCCAAAAAGAGAGGATAACCAAAGCGATGATGCCAGGAAATTTAAATATCGATGGCCATTCAACGATCCTTCGTGTATAATTGGTCAAAATATTGTTCAACACACCACATTGACTGACGTCCGTCCTTGGATTTTCACTGCCGCCCTTTTGTGTGGATTATTGGTGGACCAAAAATATTTATTTTGCCTATTAAATACAGCTGCTGTTGTGAACGAAGCCTGATTCGTAAATATTATTTTGCTTGGATAGTTTCCAATTTCTTGAGATGTGTGCAGTGCAAAATGCGAGCCTCTGCTTTTTACGTTCATCGGTTAAATTTTGAACTGGAAGGAACTTTTCACGGGTGAAACTTACGATATTTTAGTATTCGTTTAATTTTACTATAGGACTTTCCAGATAATTTTTTAACGTCGGGTATAGAATATTCAGGATTTTCTAAAAAAAATATTGATGTCAAGTGTCGTAATAGCATAATAATTTACCTTTGAAGTAAAGTAATATATCGAGGTTTTCATCAAAATTTCTTTCTATTGTCAGTCAGTTCTAGTGACACTATTTCGGTCGTCAAATTGTTTAATTAGATTTTTAATTGTATTTATTGAAAAAACTCTATTTGCCGATATTCTCTTTTAACCCTTGCAACATTATGTCCTTTTTAATAATATTATTTTAAGTTAAGTTAAGTTGCGCTGCAGATCTTTAGTTTTGATTAGTTTTTAAAAGTGGAACATTGTTAAAACGATTGCAAACATAGATCCCATCAAGGCAACTTGATAATTTTTAAACAGAAATCGAGTGATAATTATTTTAAAAGGGAAATGTCTCAAAAACGGCAAAATGAAATGTCAGTAAACTATATGTTTTTGAAATTAAGAAAGAGATCTACAATTTAAGCTAATAATATATAGGGCATTCCATTTTAAAAAATGATGTTGCTGTCATTTTGAAAGCTTGCGATCGTCGTTTGTTTTTTCTGACATTTGCATAAGATCTTTAAACTTTTGTATTTACACTTTTTTTTTTCAAAATTAACCCCATAGGTGGGTCACAAAATATAATGAATAACCCTGTACAAGTTTTTATCTTAGGTGTGGCTGCACACTGTATTCTCAGTGACTTGGACTATAGACACTATAGTTACGTATGAAACAAGCAATAAAGACTCTAACTCTCTAGTGTGATGATTTTTACATAAAACGTAATTTTAGTTATGTATTATTTTATTTTAGTTACGTATTTTTTAAGACAAAAGGTGCTGTCAAAATGGCCTTTACTTCCCCAAAACAACCCGACCGTAATTTAGAACTCGACTATCATTTTAACATAAAATGTGTAGGATGATTTTCGTTATTTATTTTGTTACATATTCGATATGATTTTTCTAATTTAAAGCCCCAGATGTTTAATATGATTTACCTATATCTACGAATTAATAAATAAAATCAAAAATTGTAGGTACATTTTAAGCAACATCGACGTCAGTAGATTTGGTACGCGATATGCTCTCTACAGTGGTAGCGACGCCCAAAACTTGCTGTTCTACAACACTACAAATCGGACAAATTATTTGGCGGATTTCTACCAAAAGTACAACCTGACTGTACATCAAAACGGTAAAAAAAATGTTTTAATATCCTACTGCTCGGAGAGTAAATGTTATATTAGGATAAATCGATGTAAGGATAATAAAAAGCATCGAAGGATATAATATATGCCTTAGAGCGAAGCTTAACGACCAGGTCGTTGTAGAGAAATATCTCGAACATTTCATCCCTTCGTATTCCTATTGCCACAATTTCATAAAAGGCACCATTGTTATTTTATGGAAAATGCTCGATGATTTCCGTGCCGCTGTACATAAAATTCTGAATTCTAAAATCTAAATTTAATGCAGGTTTCCGGATTCACATATTTTCTGAGTTTGAGTTTTCTTTCGCAATTTCATAATTTCATTGGTATCATGTTATTTGCTACAACATTTTCTTTGTGTGTTGATATTTTAGTCGATTTCTAGAATTATTAGTATAACATACTTATTTTTCATTCATGATTCGGTGTTATGTTTTGGTTTTAGATTCACATTTTTAAAAACATTAATTAATTTGTTGATTTCATTAATAAATAAAACAAAGCGGTAAACGAATACATACATAATGTAAAATTATTAAAATTATAGTATTAAAGATTATCCAAAAATTGTATAAAGAAAACTCTTTGAACATAAAATAAAATAAATAAATCATGAAAAATAAAAATACCAAATGACAGAAAAAAATTACAAAATATTCAATCCCATAAAATAAATGCAGAACATTTCTGTTGGACGGGCTGTGCATTAAATTTCATATACATATATAGTCGGTACGATTTATGATGACATAGTCGGTAACAAAATGGCAGACAATAAAATAAACAAAACAAAATTAAAACATATTATAGTTTGTAATTATCCTTTATTTTTTTCAAAAATTAATTTGTTTTACTTTTATATATATATTTATATGCTGAAGATATTTGGTTTCGATGTGATTTAAAAAGAATTGACAAGAAACAAAGGAATAAGCTTGCATTAAGTCAAATAAAATAACATAAATATCTTCAAATTCTAATTATTTATTTTTTGAAATTACGAAACATTTCGAAAAATGTTTACTGGTAATAGTAATTTATAGTGATGAAAGGTCTTTACTATTTGCAGCAAGCTCTGGATTTAATTACATTACAGTTTTCGAGTCTATCGAAAATATAGGTTACGATAAGTTGAATAATAACACATATTCGGGTGGTGAGTCTACTGTTGTTCTACTGCTCCCCAGAGCAACGATGTCTGAAGATCAAAGAAATTTCGTATCCCAAAGGAGGCAAATTATGAATCAATATTTGCCGGGTGAGGCTTATTTTATTATTTCCGCATTTTTCCTAATTTATATCGTGTTTTTTTAAACCAGATCTCAACATTTTCGTCTTGGGAACTGGAACGCAAAATGATTATGACACTATCGTGTCTAATCCGGCAAAAGATGTAGTCGTTCTTCAAGACACATCCAACGAGGAGTCTTTAAAAGGCTTTGGACAACAAATTGTGAATAATATCAAAAGCGGTAAGCATGTCATTAAATTTATGAGTCATGCTGATAAAATTTAATTCGAAACACTTTTAATAAGGGTCTTAGTACAAGAGTACAAGAATATTCCAGAACTTTATTGAGTTTCATGCAAATAATCATCTAATGCTTTGGGAATAAATAAGCTTGAATTTAATAAAAAAGTAACTTTTACCACTTCTTTGATAAGTGAATTTGTTGTCATCCTTTCGTAGATAGATCAACTTTCCTATTTCTTATTTGTTATTGTTTTAATTTTTTGAATTGTTTGGAATATTGCATTATTGAAAATAATATTAAATAATAACGATTGTAAGACTGTACGATGCACTGTCGCTTTGAAATAATACTTTGCTGTCTATTAGTGTGAAAAGCCCGAATATGTAGCTTAAATTTTGCACCAGTTTTTAATGTTAATAACGAGTATCGAGTGGAATTCGTTCTTTTTTTGTGAATATTAATACATTTTTAATTATAGGACCAATCGGTGAAAGGGTTTCAAATGCCGAATTGAAATTACGTGTAAAAAGTTTGCGATAATGTATATTTAATCTCCTAAAATGTATCCCAAATTTCTTATAAACGAATGTACCTATAAACTGTTTTCTGTGTCAGATCTCAGATAAAAAACTTGTTGAATAAGAAGGAAGATGAAAAAGAAAATCTAATTTTGCGATATTTTAAAAGTTTTGTACGATTGTACGAACCAGTTAATTAGGAGCCTCTCGTTTGAATTATAAACTCTGTTTGAATATTTGTAGGTAATTTTATTAGAGTTGGCAATATTTAATAGCAATAATCTACAATTTAACAAATTAAAGGTAATTTGGTGTGCAACTTTTTTTCCCCAAAAATTCTTAGTTAAATAATAGTAAATTTTTTTTTAAGAAATTTATAAAATGCAGTTGTCAAAGTATAATTTATAAAATTATCTGGCTTATTTTTATTGTTTTTCTAAATAAATATATGTAAATATTAACTAACGTATTCAGGCGTGTCGGATTATCAAAATTTTGCATGCTTTTGAAACCCTTTCGGAGATAAGTACAAAAAGGGGAAAATAATCTGGCCAGACCCAACAAAAACCTGAAAATAAGGGTCGATAAGAGTTGCGTATGGACATTTAAAAATTGCGCAAAATGGATAAGTGAGACCCACACCAGTTTGATAAATTGTGGAGTGCGGACAAGAAAAATGCACTCTGTTCGAACTGGATCTATGAATTAAAACGGATTCTAAAGCACGGGCAATTTTATCGATAGATGGATGTATTACGTCGTGATTGATGTGCGTATTTGTTAAACTGCAAGTTCAATCTCGAATTGGTAAAATGATATCAATAGTCCCTGTTAGAAATGAGGGGGAGGGGGTAGTTTCATACAGGATGATTCACGTTAGAAATTCTGGAGAACTAACTACGGGAACTTTTTCAGATTTGGTGTACAGACATAGCGGGCAATAATTTAGAGAAAATTAGAAATGTTTTAGCAAAATCGGCGCTGCCAGGTTTATTTCAAAGCAGTGGAAAACCCAAGTTTTATTACAACTGGCGATAATACTCAAAATTCTTAGTATATTCTTTACTACTTTTGGAAAAGACGTATTGAAAATGTGTCATAAAATTTAATATCTGAGTGATCATAAATCTAAAACTTGTGCTCGTTAAAATGGCGGTACATAATATAAGGTTGCTCAAAAATATGCGATTTTGCCTAAAATTAAAAATGAATAGTTTATTCTACTTTCAAAAAGCGAAATAACTGCGTTACATTGTATATAGTTTTGTAAAAGGCCTTTATGGGAGATCGGTATTATAACATCCAAGGAAGTGGTGTTAATTGTTCCTTTTTCAAAAATTTTGAGACATTGCATAGGAAAATGTTAATAAAAATTACTTGGGATTTTGTGTTAGATCTGACTATACCAAAAAATATAGGGTGTTCTATTTGAAATGTGTGAAAATATTTACCAGAGGTTTGAAGACCTTTCCTTCTGTGATTTTAACTTTTTGTTTACCTATACATATATTTTAACATTTGCAGTTTTTGAGGTTTTATAAAAATTTAATTTTCATGAATATCGTGGATCCAATTAGTTATTAATGCCAGTGGCGCCCCTAAGGAAAATCTAACCAATATTTTAGACTTTTCTCATTTTTTGTAAGTAGTTTTTTTTTCGTATTTGGGATTGGGTTATTTAATGTTATTTTTTATAAAATAAAAAAATGTGGTTTTTGAAGGGGGTTTTGTTGATTTTTTTGTCTGGAAGACGAAGCAAAATTCTAAAACCACCCGAAAAATTCGTATTTTTTGCTGCTTAATCTGAAAAAAAATTGGAGAATGTCAATGGCGTATTTTGTTACTTAGAAATCTATGCGAATTGACATAAACATATGGTCTGTTATGTGCAGTTTTGGAGGTTTTGCAAAAAATATGATTTTCTTGAACATCGTGATTACGGTAGTAGGGGTCCAATTAGTTTAAAGTTAATAATAATAGACTTTTTCATTTTTTATATTTTTAGCAAATAGTTTTTTAGCTCGAGTCTTTCTGTTGTATCTGGGGTTGCGTTATGTAATACTATTTTTTATGAATTAAAAAAAAGTTGTTTTTGAAAGGGTATTATGTCTGGAAAACGAAGCAACATTCTAAAACCATCCAAAAAAATCTTATTTTAAGCTTTAAGCTTAAAATTATACTCGGTAATCTATACGAATTGTTGTTCAATAAAAAATAGTAATTATCTTTTCCAGTACCAAGGGCAGTGGTTAATCCATCTTGTACTTCTTCGTACAATGGCCCAACGAACACGTTCGCCTTGATACAATACGTCGAGCCGTCAGGAGTGAACTATTACCGAATATCACCGAATTACTTCTACGGCGGCGGAGATTCCAGGAATCTTAAGATAAGGGAAGAAGGATACGGTTCATTAACTATTTGCTTCTCCAGAGACAACAGCAAACCGGATAATAGCAGTAATTCATGCCGATCGATAAGTAGTTCGGAATATAACGTCAACGTAAACGATTACTGCGACGGTTCGGTATCCTCCTGCTCCCCCATATATCTTTCGGTGACCGGTGGATCGACGAATATTAGATGTAGAGGTAAGGACAATGCTTTAAGTAAAATCCGGTTCGGAAATTCTCAATTCGCAATAAAATTTAAATCTCTTCAATTAATTACACCCGAAAAACTTCCATCCGTTAGGCCTGTCTTTTTGTTTCAGTAATATGATAAAGATAATTTGTTGTTATTTTTGTATCTTTAATATGCCAAGAAATGAGTTGCCTTTTACGAATCTTCTGCATTCCTCCTGCGTCGGTTTTTGCTGAGTCGAACTTGCTGACGTTTCGCCAATCATCCTGTTGGTTTCTTCAGGGCTGCCATATTGATGATTGGCGGTTGAGATTGTTTGGTTGCTTATAGAATTCTGGGGATTCACGGATTTTTCTTTTGTAGAGAATTGCTTAAATGCGAGAATTTTAGTTTTATCGAATAAAATTTGATAAGAATATAGATATTAAGCGTTCTGTCACAAAATACACTTCACCACAACCTTCCAATAGCAACGAGACCGAAAGCAACCCTACACTTGCCACTGTGATCCTTCCTTACAGATCCTACCTCATCTATGTAATGCACCCTTAAATCTGTTATTCTCTATCAGACTCCGTGAAAAAATCTGTCACCCCTCATGGCTCTAAAATTCCTCATCTCTATGGAGTCTCAAAGCTTCACAAACCAGGATCACCCCTCCGACCTATTGTCAGCACCATTGGTTCTCCAAGTTATTCTCTATCAAAATATCTAGTTTCCTTATTAAAACCCCTTACAGGGAAAACTAACAGTTTCGTACTTAATTCCTTTCACTTCATTGAACAATTAAAAAGCATTACATTAGATACACAACATATGCTGGTCAGTTTCGATGTACAATCCCTCTTTACCAAAGTTCCTATTCCTGAAACTCTCAACATCATTTCAGATATATTAAAGTCCGAGAATCAGGAACCAAACCTTCTCACGTTAATCGAAAAATGCTTGTGTGGAACATGTTGTTCTTATAACGGCCAAATTTTTTAACAAACGTCGGGAACAGCTATGGCTTCTCCACTATCACCAGTCATCGCGAATATATTTATGGAAGCCTGTAAGAAGAAAGTTCTCGACACCTTTCATCTAAAACCAAAATTAAGGAAACGCTACGTCGATGATACTTTTGTTCTTTGGCCTCATGGTCAGGAATCCCTAGTAGATTTTTTAGGCATTAAAACTCTACTCACCCTAACGTACGTTTTATCATTGAGGTGGAAAGTAATAATAATCTCCCATTCTTTGATATTCCTATCAATAGAAAATCGGACCTAACATTGGGTCATTGTGTTTGCAGAGAACATACGCACACCGACCGACAACATCCGGCCCAAAAATCATCGGTAATCAACTCTCTTGTTTACAGAGCCATAGAACTATCTCAGCCCGAGTCACTGAACCCAGAATTAAAACACCTTACCTCTGCTCTTCTCTCTAATAATTTCCACATGAAAGATATTAAGCGTTCCATCACAAGATATACTTAACCACAACTTTCCAATTGCAATGAGGCCGAAAGCAATCCTACACTTGCCACTGTGGTCCTTACATTCAAAACATCACTGACCACATATCAAAAGTTCTAAAGAAATATAAAGTTAAAACCAGATTTAAAACTTGTCCAAAAATCTCTCAACATCTTCGATCCGTCAAAGAAAAAATGTAATTTGAGATGCCAGAATATGAAAGTGCCTTAAGACTAGACAAATAAACTCATCAGCTGTTGCCGAACATAATCACGAAACCGGACATAAAATTTTATTCGATAAAACTAAAATTCTTGCATGTCATCTATTCTTCTACCAACAAAAAATCCGAGAGTCTATAGAAATCTATAGGCAACTTAACAATCTTAACCGCGACTCAGGTCTCTGTCACCAATATGGGATTCAGTCATTCGAGACGGTGTTTATGCCCCTCATTTAGCTCCGCACCCTCAAACAATATATAAACAGGTACAGAGTAAAATACGAGCCAGTCAGGATGATTGGCGAAAGGTCAGCAAGTTCGACTCAGAAAAAACCGACACAGGAGGATTCCAGAAGATTTGTAAATAGTAAATAATTCTATGCCGAGCTTTTTAACAAGATTTTTTTTTTAATGTTATACCCAGTGAAAGCATACTCCTCTTTCGTTTGAAAACATCTTTTTGAAACACGGTATATCTAACTTACCTAGAAATATACACACAGCCGCTAGTGCCAGTATTAAATATCATAAAATAATGCAATCATATGGAAGAAGATGTAAAACTGTGCCCAAATGCGCTAGCAATATATTTTTTTTAATATCATCTCCTGAAATTTTTAAAATAGAGAGTCCTTTCGGTATACAAGGTGCCTTGAAGTTACACTACATAAAAGCTCTTACAAGGGCGTTACCTAAATACTTTCGAAAGTATTGGATCGTAGTTTTCAACACTCGACTTTCTGTAAATTATCATTTTTAACGGTTTATTTGAGTTAAATTTAGATTGTGGTTTAAATATCGTAGAATTTAATTACACTTCACTCAAAATCATAATTTCTTAATTTTCCCTTGTTTAGCCATTTTTTTACACTAATAAATAATTGATTATCCTGATCTAGCTCATACTGAAATACACACATACTATACTTATATTATACATTATATTTATATATTATATATATATTATTATATATTATACATATACTATTGTAAGAAAATATGCAATAATGCGGAACAAGATGTAAAACTATGCCTATAAGTACTAGCATTTTTTTTTAATATCGTATGTTTCTAAAATCTTTAAAATAGTCTTTTCTGTTCTTATAAATTAGAGAAGACTACCTTGTTTTTTTCATCAAAGTATTTCTAACATGTAGATAAACGTATTGGTTACCTTAATGCAAAAATTTCTATAAATATTTTTACGTATTAATAAGGCGGGGTTGTTTTTAGAAACAGCGTGCAGGTTCCCAGATGACATCAAATATACTGTCTCCATGGAGAACGTGGGATGTGCGAGCGGATCAATAATATATACTGCCAGTATAGTATTAGTCGCAGTATTGATTTTTTTACAGCGTTTTTGATTTAGTTTTTTTATGTATTTCAACGTTTGTGCACAAACCTGCAGCAATACAAACATGAGCTTATATATTTGCATAAAATGCCTTCCAGCCATGCCAGTTTATTTATTTTAGATGTTATTGTTAAAAATTGCTACATTTCTGTTTTTTTTTATTTTATAATGTTGGCCTATGTGATGTACAAGGATTTTTATTTGGTAAGAATACCAAAAAGAGTTTTTTTATTGTAGTTTTATTAACCCATCACGTTTTATCCCAAATGTTACCAAAGGGCACTAAAATAATTTGAAAAACTTAAATCTTCACCGTCAAAACAACCGTCTATTTTATTTAAATAAAATCCATTTATTATTTATTTTTATTATGTGTACGGAACATTGCTACATAGTTTTTCTTTTATACGCTTCAATTTTAATATAGCTTATTCCTAATTATTTTATTTAAAATCTAACAAACGACCAAGTGACGACCTCAAAGTTGGTCAAGATGCCAATTTGGAGTTAAGTACAAATAGTAATCAAAAGAACCCCTGTGCGACATAGAAATTTTAACCCATTATTATTATGACGAAGAATTAGAACTTGAGACTGTGCCTACTAGACTCGTTGTGGTTTGGACTAGGCTATCCCTACCTTGAGCAGCTATAAGATCCAATTTTCAGCATGACCATGCCAGACCACATACTATAAAATTTCCTCCGAAAAACTAATGTAACCTTTCATTCGTTGCCCGTAATTTCTCCAGACTTATAACCTATTGAACTTTACGGGAGGTTATTCCTGCAGAGGTTGCCATAGGCAAATATCATCAATCTGATCAGCAGCATGCTACTATAGGGGCGGTTAGTTACAGAATGCCAAAACTTCTTTCCAAAATATAAATAAAATATTTACTGGGTTTTGCGATTTCTATATCATTCAATGTGGAAATATAATTTCTTTAAAAACTACCTAACTTTGACTTTTAAATTAATTCAAAGACATTTCGTACTCATTAACGTTCAAGACTTTCAATGGTATTTCTCAAATCTTGACATTCCGGAGTTCTTTTTTTCTTGGATAAACTTTTAGCCAGAACCTTTCGTAACTCCCAAATCTTATACAAAAAGTACTTGATATTCGTAATCGTATAAAGTCAAAATTAACTGAATTTGCTGAATTGGCTTTACCACCTCAGAAAGGCTAGTCTTTAAATACCTTTTTTCGCTTTACGTGTGCGATATTTAATTAAAAATTCACTGGTTTAGCACAATGTCATAGTCCGTTTAAAGCACGCACTGTTTAGAGACGAATATTTTGTAGAGTTTCAATAGGATCAAATTCTCAAAATGAGAAGAGTGCCTTCGATATCGTAGATCCTAAATTTGTAACAATAAAATTGGATAAGGGCTGGTATAAATCACACTTAGCAATCTTTCTTGACAGATAGACAGATCTGTTTATGTAAAAATTGTGAAGATTTTTTAATAGATATAGGAACTCCTCAAGGGATCGTTTTAGTCCAGCTAATAATTAGTGTTTTAATGAAATATCTACATATTGTAAAGCTAATAAATTAATAAAATAAAGACCTAATGTGGTTGAGGTATATAATAGGTACAGCAGTCCAAACGGTTTTGTGTGTTAGTTTGAGGGACATTTCCTTGAAACGTCGGATTTTGCAAATTTTCTGGGCCTTAAAATTGATAAGAATAAGACTGGATAAAGTATAGCGACAGTCTGTGAAAAGAGTGCGTGTCTAATGAAGCAGTTAAGGAACGCTCTAGCGTAAATAACCTAAGGAGAGTATAATTAGTTATAATATAGTTTTATAGTATGGAGCTAGAGAGGTTGAGAGAGTGTTTGTGCAGACAATCATGTAGAGGAATCTTTTGGACATAGAATTTGGACTGTTGCTTCAGTTTTTATATTAAATTTACATGCCTTTACCTAAACTAGGCGATCTTCACTCATACAACTTACTTTCAAATGAATTAAAACAGTGTGCATCAACAAATAGTTTTAAGTTAAATTCGAAGAAATTACTTTTTAGCGATACATCCTACACACTTAATTTGAAGTTTTTATGAAGATTGATAAATAGAAAGTCATTGATTTTTTAACCTTTTTTTGTTAATATTTTTTGTATGTATGTTTGTTCACGTTATTATATACACTTCCTTTTTGTCAAAGTGACTTTGTATTATTTTGTTTTTTTCATTTTAGAATTGATTTGTTTTGGTTATAACTTGGTTTACTTATACTATTTTCACTCATCTTACTTTTATTTTAATTGGGTCACTTTCTTATTGATTACTTTTATAGCTATTTTTAAAACTGTCCATTTTTTTATATAATACAGTTCTTTTTGTCGTACGTTTTGACGATGCAGCTAGTTGCTGCTCTCCGTATATTTAAAACAATATATTATTGTATATCTAGATGACGTTTTTGAAGACAATAAGTATATTGAGAATTGTGTATTAAAAGTCGCCAATGTCTTTTATTAAAATTCTGGAACATAAAAAAATCGTAGCCAATTAAGAATCTATACATCGATAAAAGCGATTCTTTATTTTTTTAGCAGATGATAAATTAGCAGATGATGAATGACATTATATTCCCGTACGGTCGTCCTAATTTTCGAAATACAAAAGCCCTTCGCAATTTGCTCAAATTGAAGTCCGTTATTTACATTTATTAGCGAAATTCGGCCACTTAATTATGAGAAACGTTTTAATTAAACTGATGACATTCGCACCAAAGGTAGCGGCAATAAATATCGGCGTGAAATAACCCCACTCTGGCTAAACCAACAATTTGTTTTAACCAATTTAATTTAATTAACTAACCCCAGCCGTCTTTACACACAAATACACAAGCGTTAATAATTTTCAGAATTCCAATTAGCGCAATCGGATACGCTATACTGATACGAAGTTTCTTAGATAACATAGTCGTCTCGATTAGATAAAGCGGTATTAGTCACACATTGTTTGGGATGGGTGAAAACGTTTTATTTTTATCGATGGGTGAAAATTGTTAACTAAAATGGAGCTAAAAACTCACATGGTTGTTTTTCTGGTGTCCATTCTTTGGGGTAAGTGCGATTGTTGGGTTTTTTATTTACATGTTAGTTTAAAATTGAATAAAATAAAAGATACATATTTTCCTATGCGAGTTTTTTCTTTGAGATTGACTGATGTACCGAACGTTCGATTATACCGCATTACCGGCCTGAAAATGCTTTTTATAAGGTCAAATCATATCAGCTTTAATACAGTCCAAGTAAAATTATTTACTTATTAAGTAAATTTTCAATGTTTTCTCAAAAAATCTTATGCGTTCCCAAAAGAGTTTTTCTCTTAGTTTTTTTAGTAACATTCGATTTTATACGTCTGTAAATTAACACCAAGCATATTCAATAACTAGGTTTAGGGTGTAATTCAGGGTGGTTGGTTTGATGGATATTTTTTTATATTATATCGAAGTTTTAATCCGTTCAGATTTTAACTTCTCCGTACAAAATTAGAAGAGGATTACAATTGTTTAATAAATAAACAAATCAAAGCTGTAAAAGCCGAAACAATGTCAAACATGTGCATTGTTTATGTCGATGTTAAAATATATTCCGTGTTTTTTTATTGTTTCATTCTTGAATTAGTGCACATCCTGGAACCCAATAAAAAACAGTATATATTACATAATTCTATTAATATCATTATATATCATGACAATAAATACTGTTAATAAGTTATTACATAGAAATTTTAATTTTCACTTTTGTAGCTCTGAATAATTCTAAAATTAGAGAGTCTTTTTTGTTTTTGCAAAAGTATTTTCCAACTTTTTTTTTAATTTCTGGCATTGTATATTATTGGTAAATTTTTTAGGCGGGTTTGTGGAAAAATTAAATATTGTTATTAATTTGTATTGGTAATGCAAAGTGCATTTCAAAAAATTATGAAAGTCTGGAACATAACTAAAAATTTTTAAATTTGCCAAAACTGAATTCTTTTGTTCGTTACCTTGTATTTTGTAAAATATGCCCATATATTGTCTGTCAGATAATATTCTAAAAATACCTTTATAACTTAAAATTAACCAGGTTAATCCTTGGATATTTTTTCCAAGTATTTCGTCTGTCAGATAATATTCTAAAACTACCTTTATAACTTAAAATTAACCAGGTTAATCCTTGTATTTCGACAAACGAAAATTACGAATAATTGGATGATCAACTTATCTATATTGTATTACATTTCTAATTTAAATTGGTTTCACAGACAATAATTTGGATTTTTTTATAACGGATTACTTATATCTATATGCCCATTTCCATGTTTTATTTAGATATTCGAATACTTAATTATTTTATTTTGATTATTAATTTTTTTCAATTATGTTTCCGGCAAATAGTATTTTAATAAGAAAATGGCCGTGGGGTAGTTTTTATTGGCATTTGGTAAAATAATAAAATTCATTTTGATAAAGTACCACAGTCAGTATAATATATAGTATGTCCAGTGTTCCATCAAGACAGGAACCAAATGTATATTAATCGGAATATGGATTCACATTTAACATGTCTCGTGGTGCAATTCGTATAAAAATAAAGCTTTTTGGGACACCATTTATATATGTGGTTACGTATAGCGCCAAACAGTTGGTAGAATAGTCTACGGTCGTATTATTAAAATTTTGGTAAATAATCAATGCAGCGTTGTACATTTCAGCAGATCACAAAGTCGAATGTGAAACTTCTTCGTCGATACCTGACGGTCTACAGCCCTGTTATAGAAGAAACTATACAGCAGGCTCGAGTCCACCTTTTACTATCCCCGTATTAATAGAACTACTTAGAAAAATCGAGTTGGATGAAAGATACACTATCAACACCAGAATATTCGCCAATTCAGTGTTGCATCGGTAAGACCGTAATCGATTTTGATTTTATTTTATACTGCATTGAAGTTAATGTCTTAGAAAGCAGTGTCGTGCGCATTTTGATATTTATCTTGACAATAATAGTTTTTGTAAGACGTTTTCAGAAATATTTGCAAAAGGTGTTCAAATGGTATTTTTTGTATTTGTATGAAATTTTCAAGTTTTAACAATCAATAAATCGTCCAAACAGATAAAATTTTCTGAGACCTTTTTCATTTTCATTTTTCATTATGAAATCCTCAAAATTCTATATTGGACAAAGGAAAATTTGTAGTTGCATTTTGCGTAATAACTTCATTGTAACACGTTAAAAAAATATTAATTTATCTGGAATACGTGTGACCACTAGTAAATTGACCTTAGTCAGATTTATGCTCCATAAAGGTGATAAATTTTATGCCTAACAATATAATTTAGAATTCGATACAAAACAAGGCAAATTAATGAAAATATCCTGAGTAATATTCTGGAAGGGTCTTTAAACCGATTAGCATATAGTCAAAAAGTTAAGAGATCCTGTATTATTATGGGTTTCTTGAGTTAAACAAATTACAAACTTGTGCTTGAGTTCTTGTTTTATCTCCATATCCATATCCATATCCATTCTCTGAGTTTAATTTTTTTTACCTTTTCTTTTCAAAATTAAATTCCCGTTTTTTATTCTTTTGCTTATAGAAAGTAAGAGATATATAGAATATGCTACATGAATTATGCTGGAAATTTTGACCCACATGAATGTTTCCAACGCTATGTTAGGGCAGTTTAGGTGCAATAAATTCGAGTTTTAGCGCCGATTAATTACTGTAGATGAAACTTGGATATACCATAAACAACAATATAGTTAAAACAGTGGTCTGAGAAGGGGGCAAAGCAAAAACTAATTTTAATCGATTAATCTCAAAAATAAAATACCATTACACGAGCGTACTACGCATCATTACTTGAGGACAGGGAGTATCGCTGGCAGAAGTGTATGAATTACAAAAAAAGTACATAGAAAAATACATTGAGAAAAAAAGTCTTATACGAGGGCAGCGCCAAAATCTCCCAGCCTGAATATGAAAGAAACAAAGTAGAGTAACATTTTTTTATTATTTTTCAATATAATCCCCCTTAACTTCATCACACTTATTACATCTCTTTATTAACAACTAAATCCCTTTAAAAATATATTCTTTTGGTCTGTCTGCAAAATGAGCTAAAACAGCCTCTTTTAACTCAACTTTGTCGTTAGTCTGCCGTCCACGTAAGTCCTTTTTTAAATATCCAAACAAATAATAGTCGCTGGAGCTATATCTGGACTATAGGGAGGATGATCTATCTGTTGGAACCCACACTTTACATTTACATACATTATCGTATTAAAGGCGCACGTCTCTGGTCAGTTTTCCTCGACGTTTTACACGTCTGCAGTCGATTTATGTAATAATGTTGCGTAATATTTACCATTGACAGTGGTATTAGTTTCTTCAAAATCTATCAAAAGAATTCCTTTACAATCCCAAAATATCGTGGCCATCACCTTTTTTGTTGACTGGCAGACTCTGAATTTTCTTGGAAGTGCTTCATAATAGAGAACCATAGTTTCATCTCCCGTCACAATAGTTTCACAGGCTTCGGTTCCGACCCACGGAGTTCCAAAAAGTCTGCGCACACTCGACACGGCGTTGTTTTTGAATAGCCCAAAGGTTTTTAGGAACCCATCTTGCACTAAGCTTATGCATACATAAATGACCATGCAGGATTCGACGAACACTTGTATCAGAAAGCTTAGTAATTTCTGAGATTTCCTTGACCTTTAAACGTCGAGCACTCAATATCACCTCTTCCACAAATGCAACAATATCTTCCGTTATGACCTCCACTGGTCGACCAGTTCTTGAATCATCTTCAAGGGACTCCTGCCTCATTCGAAAACGTTTTGCCGATTATTTCATTACAGAATACGAAGGAGAACTTTGGTCGTACACACCATACAGCCTTTAATAATTTTAGGTGCTAACCCTTCTTTTGTCAAAAACTTTATAACTGTTCTATACTCAATTTGCGTTATTTGCGACATTTTTTTGGACACGTCTTGTTTAAAATGCTGTCAATAAAAACTTATTTGAATCAAGACTTCATTTTTTTTCGCAGCCTACTAAGATATATATTTAAAAGAAGACAAAGTTTTATCGCGATACTGGGGCTGCATCTATGTCAGGCCGGCAAATTTTGGCGCTAACCTCGTATCATTGTTTTATTCGCAAACTTCTTAAATGACCCTCGTAAAACGCAGTGCGATTACACTGGTGACACCGGTGGTTGATAATCAACCAAATAATTTCATTAATTATGGTTCAATACGAAGTTTTACTATGAATTTCGAAAATGCTTACCATTGCCTCCTAAACATTTTATAATCATAATACAAATAATTAATTTAAAGGCCCATATAGAAAATTTGGGCTATATTCGCCCTTTCTGCTCATATGCTTCACTTCGTATTGACTATAGTCGCGAATTTTTCTTTTTTCCAGGATCGTATTCGACGGTATTCAACGCAACCCGAATCTCAATGTAGACGATAATTTCGCCGTTCCTTACAGAGCGACCCTGAACAAATTTTTCAAGTACAAAGTTGTAATCGATTACCTAACTAACGGAAGAGTCTCCGAGTTCCCTTTAGAAGTCCTTCCATTAGATGAATTATGTTTCCTCCATAAGTTTACTTCCAATACAATCGATCGTTTTGAAAGGGGGGATGAGAGCGACACTTGTAACGATAATTCCTTTATGTCCATGTAAGATTTTTCGTTATTCTATTCTCGTCATATACTTAGCCCGTTGTAAAAAGAAAACAAATAGATTTCTAACTATAATCTAAATGAAAATAAATAGAAGAAAACAGATAAGGTAAGTGGCGGGAATTTCATAACTGCATCATCTTTCAGAAAGATTTTTTGTGATTTAAAAATGTCTATTTATGGAGGGGGTAATGTATGTACCGCAGCCGCGCGAAGAAGTCGTTAAAAATTTTATGTTTGCTCCGCAGAGTTTAAATTACACGATTATGCCTTTAGAAAGACTTTTGTAAATGAAATTACTGTTGAAAATCTGTATTTTTATCTGTCGTGTTGTATTTTTTTGTTTTCAATTATTCAACACATAATTTCCATGAGTTGGTTTTCGCATATTTACAGATTTTAATATTTTGAGATGTAGATTATGAATAAAATCTCAACAACGGTTATTTTGGCAACGGAAAACGGCTTTTTAAGAGTTGGTTAGTTGGTGTTATCGGAACTAAGTTGTAGAAAAACAGTGTATTTATTAACTAAATTAATTTTTAGATGTCAAATTTGTTGTTTTAAAAAATACATAGATTCTAAGAATTCAAATTGCTTGATGAAAACCTATTTATCGTGTAATTGCGTTTGTTGTACGCAGTTGTTTCGTGAGTTTAGTGAACATTTTGCAGTTAAATTTCTTTTGTGACAATTAGACGTAAAATTACTCCCCTGTTTAAAAAACAATACTATTGGTGTTCACGTACTGTTTGTAACATATATGAAAGTTTGAGACATTGGTATAATGATCTCTGTCTTTTGGAATACCTGTGATGTGATAACTATTTTTGTATGTGCAGTGTTCGTGGATATAATACTAAAAATTTGAAAAACATTCCCCAGAGACCTCAATACCTCAGAATCCACCCGATTTAGAAAAATATACCCCAAGTTTTTTTGAACCTGAAATAGCTGAAGTTATCCTTAGTAATGTTGGTGACATATGGAGTGTTTCTCAGCAATCACAGTTATTATCACAATCAGAATTTAATGACTTTGTGAGAGACCTAGGTTTACCTATTTCCTTTTATTAACTCATTCAAGAGAAGCCTTTTGCGCAACGGAAATGGTCGTGCTTCTGTAGCTCTTGCTCATTCTGGGCAAATCGAAGAATGTTACGAAAATCTGGAACTACTGCTTCATAAAATCCATGGCTATAGTTCGATGATTTGTGGAGACTTAAAAATTGTGGGATATCTAATAGATTAGCAATCAGGATATACGAGCTACCATTGTTTTTTGTATGAATGGGACAGTAGAAACAGAACGAAATTCTCTTACTACCGTTGCATATTACATTAGGACTGATGAGGCAGTACCTTAAAGATTTAAATAAAGATGGAGCCTATTTTAACTACCTACACTCTCTCAGAAGCAAAATAAAGGAAGGCGATTAATGGAAGATCAAGAGTTTGGGAATACCATTACCGAATCTGCATGGGTTTCATTTAGTAATGTTATAAAAGGTTTTCTAGGAAACAACAAATATTCCAATTTCAAAGACATTCTAGAAAACATGTTAGAGAAATTTAGGGAAATGGGATGCAATATTAGTATAAAACTGCACTTTTTACACTTACATCTGGAGCACTTTCTAAAAAATCTTGGTGCCCTGAGTGAGAAGCAAGGTGAGAGGTTCCACCAAGATATAAAAGAGGTGAAACGCAGATATCAAGGTCGATGGAACCTTACAATGATGGCAGATTACTATTGGTCATTAAATATGGACAACTCGGCTGTGGAATATACAAGAAAATCCACTATATGGACTACTTAACTATCGTTTGAGACTTTGTCATTTTATTTAGATTTTTTAATTCGGCTTTTGTTCTTGTACTAATAAAAATAATGTTTAAATCAACCGAGATTTTCATTTCATTCCGTTCAGATTGAAATCAACTTTCAAATGTTTAAAAATTGCCGACCTGTGTTGTGTTGTATACAAAATGACATGAAAGGAACAGTTTCCCAATATTATAAAAGTATAACTTATCAGTATCAGAACTCGTTATGCTAAAAAAGTTACCCACTCTAACCTAACTCTAGTTTAAAGGGCTACAACAACACCGCGAAAATTATATGCCTGAGGTTTTCGAACATTCAAAATTCAAAAATGCTAACTGCAATCGCGGTAATATTTATAATTTTGGTAACCTTTTACTGATACGCTTCTAAAGTTTACAAAAACCTTCCTAATTCTGAGATGTTAAGATTTTTTTATTAACAGTGGTTAATCTGACAACACTGCCGTTAGCGTTTTTGAATTCTGCATGTTTTATCGTTCCAGATTTTGGAGTTTTGGAGGTTTTTAAGCGTTTCGTTAGTTTCTACTTACCCTGTATATAAACATATAATACGTTTACGTTCTTAGTGCAAGAAAATCTGTAGATCAACATTTAGAAAAGTGTATTGAGTTGAGTTGAGGGATTTCAATTGGAATACTCCTATTTTACCTGGTAGACTTATTCATTTGTTAACGTACTTAAGTCGGTATTGCGAAGCAGACTTAGTTTTTTTTTACTTTGGTCACTTCGGTTTTTAAATCTTCTCTATGGAGCTAAAATATTCTGGCTTCTGGCATTTCTAACAATAATATATGACAGCATTTATGTATTTTATTAATGCTTTCTTTTAATTATTTTTGCTTAATACCTATCTAGAGCTCTTTTATTAATTCATGTTTTATTTCCAAAATATGACACCACTAAAACTTTAGTTTAAATATTAGGTATATTTAAGTTGTCAATAACTCAAAAAATTTAAAATCCACGTCACTGTTACTTTAACCGTATATTTTATACAGGTCGTATATATCGTTTTTAATTTCAACTTAATTTTTGATGCTGTTCTAAGTTCTAAATTTTATTTTACCGAATGAAAAATTCAAATTGAGAAAGGGACAATGATAGTTAAAATTATACCAGGTGTAACACAATGTCGTGAACACAATTTAAAGGTAGAGTTCATTAATATATAATATTAATAAAGTTTATATAAACATGGATTATTTTGGAATTTATCCAATTTATCATATATTTAGCGAAAAAACTGCACGCCACTGGCTTGACAAACATTATTGTCACTTTCTGAAGGCCAGATCATGTCTGCTTAAATAGTATTTATTATTTATTATTTATAATCATTTCCTTTATCGGAACAATAATAAGTTTTAGTGAAAATTATAGGAAACTCCCAGAAGGTGATTTATTCTGTTGAAATTTAAAACACTATACATGAATTTTTGGTTTAAAAACTGTACATAAGAGTGAAACAGTCCAAGGCACAATTTTTAAGGTAAATTTATGTCTTATTTATGTATTTATATCTCAACTCGTTTTTGATAAATTTAAAATAAACAAAAAAATAAAAGGTTTACCAGAACCAGAATATTCAAAATTTTAAATCTAGAATCTAATTTTTTTTTCCTAATATTCTTAAATATCTTGTATAAATTCTGATTTTAAATGAGTGTCATACACTCAGTTATCTCTTTTGAGCCTTAATTTTATGCTATTTAATAGAAATGGCAAGTCAACCAACTAGTACCCAATAATCCAGGGTGTCAAAAACTTTACTATAGTTGAATAAAACAGGCGCGCACGTTTCTCCGTTGTAATTATGTCACCTAATACTAAAATTAATGTAGTTGCTTTGCTGTCACTTTCTCGTTTAGGGCATCAGATGGTTCTTCCAAAGTTCGCTTGAGCAATTGCCCGTTAAAACTTGGGAATATTAAAACTAAATGGGGCACCGTGTCAGCTTCCCATTTGATATCGGGAATTGCGTCCGGTCTTCAGCAAAACGAAGTAACTTTTCAACGTGTTTACGCTGCCATCAGCGAACACAAAGGTTTGCAAACCGCTTACAATGCATATATGGTAATGGACAACGAGGCAGCCGGCAACAACGTGGATAATGTCCTTTTTACAACAATGGCAGGCGATTTAGGCGAGGTTGTTCTGAATCAAGCCGCGAAGAACTTTCTTATTGACGCGGAAGGGTTTTGGAACGATACATTGTTGCCTAGAGCGTTTTATTTAAAATCTACGAATGAAGATCTTACTCGGGCCGAAATTTTAGGTGGAATCGATGGTAAGGCCGTAACGAGCTTTTGTATGTGTAGCAAAACCAATTGATTTGCGCGGCAAAAACTATTTTTGCCGAATATTAAAAAAAAAAAACTTTATATTTATCATAGGAAAAAAAATGTTCAGTTTTTAATGCTAAAACTGACAAATATTCCAAGTTACTAATATTTATGATAATATAATATATCAATACTCGATACTCAATGTATTTATTGTCTTTAATTAACTAAAATATATCGTATCGACGACGTCATTTAGATATGTAATAACATATTTTTATAATATACGGATGTCGGCACGTAACTGCATCGTCAATAACCTAGTAGATAATAATACAAAAAAGTCTAAAATCTAGCTATAAAGGTAAGTCGCCTAATTTAAATAAAAGTAATATCAATTCTATTGAAAAAGTCACACGCTATTTTGTTTCGAACAAAACAACAAGTTGTATGAACCACCCTATTTGGAATGTGATAAGCATATTATCATATATAGTAGATAGTGTAAAGTTTTTTGATGTAAATATAGATGGATTTATTGATGGATTGTACTGGGATGGGCATATTGATAGTTTAATAAAACGGTTAAATTCTGTTTGTTATGGAATTAGAGTAGTTAGAAGGTACATGCACTACAATACAACAAAAATTTTATATTTTTCCAATTTTCTGTCCAGTTTATTTATGGCATTATTTTTTGGGGAGGTCACAGCGCAGTACAAAGATTATTTATAGTTCAGAAGAGAGTTATGAGGCTAATTAAAAAGATGAAGTGTGGAGATAGTTGTCGATAAATTTTTAAGATCCAAGGTTTAATGTCAGTATACGTTGTCTATATTTATGAGTCATTCATTTTCTTTTTTAAAAACCGGGAATATTTCGAACTGCATGTATCATCCCATACGTACAACACTAGAACGAGAAATGTAAATTACCCAATACATAGATGAGACTGAGAAGAGTCCATACTGTATGTGTAGAAGATTTTATAATAAATTGCCTGAACAGTTTAAAAGAAATAAATAGTTTGATTCTGGCAGAGTTAGAATCCTATTTAATAAAAAACTATTTTGAGAAAATAATGAAAGAATTTTTGTATGTTATGGTTAATTGTAGAGTATCTCTAGGTATTGGACACTATTCGGTGTTTTTGTATTTTGTAATATACTAACAATTTGAAATAAAGATGATGATTCTTATTATTATTGTTGTTAAATCAAAAAACAAAATTATGCAAAATCACTTTGACTAAAAGGAATTGTATAAAATAACATGGACAAGCATACATATAAAAACTATTAATAAAACAAAGACAAGAAAAACATTAAAGTCAAATAAAAAATATGGAAAAGTACAAATTTACAAAATTACAGAATCAAAACACTCTCGGTATTAGACGCTATTTTCGTTTTGTTTTTGTATTTTGTAATATACTAATACAATTTGAAATTAATATGATGATGATTATTATTATTATTAAATCAAAAAACAAAATAATGCAAAATCACTTTGACTAAAAGGAAGTGTATAAAATAACATGGACAAGCATACATACAAAAACTATTAATAAAACAAATACAAGTCAAACAAAAAATATGGAAAAGTACAAATTTACAAAATTACAGAGTTAAAAAACACAAAAGGATTAAAACATCATTGACTTTTTATTGATCAATCTTCATAATAGGCTCAAACTCTTGAAGTGTGTAGAATGGATCGCTAAAAAATAGTTTCTTCAAATTTTAGTTAAACCATTTGTTAATGCACATAGTTTTAATTTATTTGGTAGTAAGTTAGATAAGTAACTACCTAAATTAAAGGGAGATTTCTTGTAAAACTCACGAGGATGCTAATTTAATTTTTAATTTTAATATAATAACTGAAGGGACAGGTACTTACTATTCGCTTCTGAATCACAAAAACTCTCTCAACCTCTCTAGATCCACACCATAAAACTATATTATCACTAATTATGCGATGCAGTACACTTTTGTATACGTTCTTCAGTTCACTTATGCCCAGAGAATTCCTGCTCTATTAGAAACGCACTCTTTTTGTGTCTGTTGCAGAGACTATCGATTTTCTCTGTCCAGTTTAAATTAATGCCCAGTAAATTAGCCAAATCCGACATTTCAAGAGAATGTACCTCAAAATTAAAGGCAATATGTAGATATTTCATTAAAATACTGTAAAATTTTAAGTTTTACATTTTCAGAATTACCATCTGATATTATTGCTGCCGTGCCATTATAATTAACAAATAACTTTGCACTTTCTACAAAATCTGACAGGTCGTTAAATATTGTCAATATTAGCGGGCCCAAAACGCACCCTTGAGAAGTTCCTATATCCATTAAAAAATGTTCGGAGTGTCTATCTGGTATATGTGATTTATACTGCCTCTTACCTTATCTAAATCATGGTAAAAGCCAGTCAGAGCAATTGCTTACTTAATTACTAGATGTCGTAAATCGACCCAGGAATTCTGTTTGTCAGTTTTGAAATTCGCACCTAAAAGTGGTAGCAATGACATATGGATCATTTTTGCTTGTTTCCGGTTCAATAAGTCGCTACAGTTTTGTTTGCAGATGACACCCAGGTATTCTTCTGTCACCTCAAGTTACCCATATCCAGACTTTGTATGGTCTTGATGTCGCCATAACTTAATTAACATATTTTAATATGCATTTGCACACCAGAAATTTGTGACAACAAAAGCGCACATAAAATTTGTATATTTTGACGCTTCGATCACTTGGTTTTGCTACTCACAAATGGTGATGAAAAGAAATATTTTCAAATTTCATTTGCTTTATTATTATTTCCCCAGCGTTTCAACTATTTTTTATGATTTTTTTATTTCATCAACGAAAGTGAATTAATAACTGAAGTTTATAGCAATTTTCAGCACTAATACTACTAACGAAGTTTTTTACATTTTTGAAAATTTGAAGTTACACTAAATGCTATTTATTGGCTTGAACAATTTCATTGCAATCGCTATTTCTTTTATTAGACTGTATTAGTATTTATAATAATAATAATAATAATAAAGGTCTTCATTCAATGAAATACGCATTTCAAGGAAAAATTTTACTCATAATTTGGTGTCTTATTCGAAATTGTAATGTGAAAGTGTGAAATGTTTCATTCGAAATTTCTAATGTTCCATGGGATTCGGGTAGATTTGACAACGCCGCATTGGCCAAACCGATAATGACCTACTACGGCCGTAGACTAAATTTGCGAAAGTTCTCTGTTCCCCAGAACTTTGAATTAGTTACTCAAGGTGAATCACTCTGTGTATGTTAATAAAAACAAAATAAAGGCACTAATAAAAGCTATTTTCTTCTCTTTTTGCCGTCTTTCTTTCTTTTTTGGTTTTCGGACAAATATTCAAAAACCAGGTGATATTTTAATTTATATATCCTCACTTCTTCATTTATTTTTTCAGTAAATGTAGCAATAGATCAGTAACAATATTTCCTTATAAGAAATGGGGTATTTTTGCTTTCTGTAATTACGTAGAATATTGATCCATGTTGTTGTGGTATTTTTTCTTCTTTAAACATCTACATCTCCTACGCGTTTCTGAGTTGGAAGAAGTGCTCTTCTGATGGTGCTTACTCTCGTCCAATATTATGTTATGATTGTGAGTGATTCCATTTCGTGTCCTCTTGTTCCCGTCCAGTTCAAACCGTCATCTTGTTTACTGCGTTTATCTGTGCTGCATCGATTTCACTGATACCATATCGATTTCTAATCGTGACAGACGAAAACTTCACAGACTTCATTGGGCGAATAACGTCTTAATAATTTATAGTTGTGTAATGGGTTTTAAGGCGAGAAAGAAAATAAAAATTAAAAACTTTCTCGACTCCATTTATAAATTATGCAGAAGCTCCAAAGGTCAAGGGAAATAACACCAGAAAGTTATTTAGAACTTTTTCCTATTTGTCGTATTGTGCTAGCGGATATTGTTCTTTAAATTTTGATTTTTTAAAGTGCACGACTCTTAGTGAAACGACTTTGTCAACATTGTACAGTCTGTCCACATATTTGCAATTGATCAAATCCGACGTAATGTCAATTTGAATTTCGAACCTGTATTTATATTCCATTCATTATTCAGATCCAATTCTTTGATATTTTTTATTCTTTTCGTTTCTTGTTTTATTAAATCTTTATTTCTTATTTTTCCAAAATTCCTCTTGCTTTTGGTACGAGATTAAAATTAACTATTGTGAGGTGTTACTGAAAAGAGATCAGTTTGAAAAACAGCTATGAATAAATAATTTTAGGTGCAATTTTGGGAAAAAGGGTGCAATATTTGCTAAACATCCTCGACAGTACAAGACTTTCGCAAGTGCTAGACATGTACTATTCAGATCGCGGCATTCCATATCAGTTCGGCTACAAAGTTACCACCAGATCCGCAAGTTTGAATTATATATTAGACAACTTTAACTTGACACAACAAGTAAGTCTAAATGTTAATTAAAATAAATGCCTAGGTATTTAAATGTAAACAACAGAAAACATCATTTGCATTGTTTAATCACTGTCTGCTTTCACTTCATTAAAATTAAAATTGTTTCTAGATATTTGGCGCCACCCAGTTACTGCACGCCATTAGAGGTACTTACGAGATGTCTCTTACGGAAGACTATATCAGAAAATTGTCCCCGCTTTACGCTGAACAATTTCGAAATATCAGTAGTAAGGTCGTTCTTTTTTCCGGAAAACCACAGCGGCATTTTGTTTTCAATTTTTAGGTATTGTGGCAAATTCCTATGACGCCACCGAGTATCTATCGGGAAAGTCTCTTATCGCCGATTTGGAAGTTTTGTTAATATTAGATGGCACGTTCGATGCGTATCGGACTCAACAAATGATATAGTAAGTGATACATAGGAATAAAAATCACGCATACATAATTCCATTGCTACAACGGCCTGGCTTGAATGTACATTTATATGATAAAATTTGGCTACAGTAATAATTTTGAAACTCTGTACTAGCTGTTTGAATTATACAAATGATGTCGGTAGTAATGGCATTCGTAGCGGTGAATTCAAAAACAGCTAAATACAAAATTTTTGTTTTGAAAAAATATTAATAAAAAATTACATGTTGGGGGCTAAGGTCTTTTTTTATTCGGCCTGTAAATTTTCTTCTTCAGGAAACATCAACTGAATTAAAGGAACGTGATAATTTTGAAAAATTCTTTAAAATCAAAATATTATTCTCAAGAAGATATTTTAATTTTATATATTTTTTTCATATTATAGCTTCTTTCTTTATCGATAGCATTTTCAATGGTAAAAATATTACACCCATTTTGCTTAGCTTTGGGTTTGGTTTGTTCCAATTTTTTTATTTACACATTAAATATCCAATTTTTTTCGATTTTCCATCTTTTTTTTGGTTTTTTGTTTTTGTATTTCTTAGGAAGTTTATTGCTACTATTGACTATTGGCTATCAGATTAACATGATTATAAAGGGTCGCATTTTGGTATTTATGAAATTGTTTTTTTTTTGTTGGACAAATAAAGGGAATTATTATATCCGAACATCAGAAATGGCGAAATAGGATTGCTTGATAACCGCATATGGTTTCAAGAAGAATACCTGATTCAAATGGTCCCAAATCCAGATCTAAATCCCCTAGATATTTTTCTTTTGGGTTAAATTCTAGTTTATTTAATAAATCATTTTTGTCATGTCTGCAAAACGGTTGAATTTATAATGTATAATTCTAAGAGCAATTCAAAAATTGAATAAAAACAACTGTTCTATTTAAAATAAGGAAAATTGGTATGTATATTTGGTTTTGGTGTATATGCATGTATTGGCTATTACTGGGTTTGTTGCAGTATCTTTTTTTTAATTTTATAAATTTTATTATGCTGGATCGCGAGCCAGACACTATATTTTCCATTTTTAAGAAAGTGATCGTTACAACTTTTTTTAAAAATATTTTGCATTAGTTTGTAAAGACTACACTTTGTTAATAAACTCAAATGCTAAACTATTACTAAATTGGTTAATAGTTATGGGCTTATATAAGCCTAGATAACCTTTGCAGAAACAGCGACAGTTTAGAAATTCCCAAAATATATTTCTTGGTCTTGCTGAAATTGGTCCGCAATTTTTCTTCATGCATTTCTAGTGGCCCAGCAGTTTAGATCTCTCGAATTTGATAATTTTTACGCGTGTTTCGAAATCAACGCTTTAATTGTTTCGCGCGTGACCCCATTTTGTACCACGTCGACGCTCATTTCAAAAACGACAACGCATGCAAAGTTGCGTAGGCCTGATTATTAGAATTTCTAAGCGTAATGCACAAACAACAATAAACTTGAATGTGTACTAATTACAATTTGAATAGGCTTGTAATGCCGTGTACATGACACGTATAAACATCTCGCGACATGGCTGAATCGAGGGTAATGCAGGATCAACCCTCCTGCGTTTATCATATTCCCATGAAAATTATTCGATTATGGTTGGCCGTGGCTGTAATCGGAAACACGAAACTGTTGAAAGTGGGGGTTAATTAAATGCAGTTTCGGTGTAATTAGTATCTCTATATACGCCGGCACTGATTTCGAAGCCCTTAATAATAAGACAAGATAATTTTGGAATTATTGCTGTTGCTGTTCCGACTTTACGCGCATTTGCGATGAGCTTGACGTCGCCAATTCGAACGACTCGAATGCAATATTCGATTAAGGGGTGGTTGAATCAGATGGCTGTTTATGGAAATTTATAGATATTTTTGCGATGTGATTAAAAATTTATTATAAATTGTGTGTGCCTCAAAAAAATTTTACTCTTCTTCACAATATGTATATTTTTTATTTTAATTAGAACGTGTGTAAACAATATGTCAATAATAGAAGTAGTTCTTATTGCTTAGAGCTTTACACTTTTTTATTTGACAATAATTACCAAGCCAGTGTACATTCTATTAGTGTTTCACATGAATAGTTTTGGTAGCATTTTGTATCATAGCATTTCCATTGATTTGAAGATATATTTAGTAAAATTAAATATTAAAGATTAAAGATTCCTCTTAAAGTGAAGGAAAAATGAAAATATTAAGAAAATAAAAATTTACCAAAAACTAAAATGATAGAATAATATGATTTTCAATATGAGACTATGAAACGTACCTATTTTCAAGGGGTACAGGTATAAACATCTGGGAATTCTGGGATATCTAGATATAGACTTCCAGCTCATTACATATAACTTTTATGCGTTTTGGGATATTTTCACCAAATTTGGTTCGTATTCTTGTCCTATCGGAAGTCAAAAATACCTGATCTGTTGAATATCATCTATTATACAATTTCAAGTAATGTTATTAAACATGGAAGAAATGTATTTTACTGGTCTAATTGTAACTAGTACGTAAGGTAAGGTATAAATAGAACCAATACTGCCCATAAAATCATTTTGTGGATCTTTGACATTTGCTTCTTCACTAGGATTGAATGAACTAAGTGAAAAGCTAGCTTCCAATTATGGTGAAACCAAAGATTGAACGAAATCATCATTTATAAGATTTTTGTTTGTCTACGCCAAATTGGGTTGAACGTTTCTCTACATAAATTAAAATTTATTTAAGCACCATTTTACAACCACATGCCTTAGAATCCTAAGATTATTTCACTAAGTGGTATTATTTCCATCTATAGCATCCGGGTATGCGTGCTTTTTTAAGAAACAAATTATACAAGTTGATTCAACACCAAAGTAAATATTTTGATAGCGTATCCCTCTTATAAAAATCAGCGACAAATTTCTTATAGTTTATATAGGTCCTTTGAAAGCTGTGCAAAGTTATCTTCGAAAAAAGCACAAAAGATTAAGAGAAGAGAAAAATACCCGTTTATGACTGAATAATATTTTTTTTAATTTGCTGTTTTTGTGTGAAAAAAATAAATACTGTATAACACTTTTTAATATAACTGTAATATGTATAATATAAAAAATATATTAAATATTTAAACAATATATTAAAATTCGTTGATAGCTAGAATTCTGAATTAGCATAAAAATATAGATCAGTGTTAATAGATATTGCTATTTAGAAGCGCTTTTTATTTTATTAGCTGTTTCAAAAATTTTATTACAAGCGTCATTAAATATAATAGTAAAATACTTTTATTAAAGTGACCTTGAACGCAAAAATGTCACAATATGTAAATTGTTTTCAAGGCCAATCTTCTATAAAAATCTTGTTACAAACCTCTTACAAAAAATACAATTTTATTTTTATTATTGTATCCTGCACCCCCAATAAAATCATTTTAAAACAGTTATAAAATAAGTTTCGGTCAAGCAGAAATTTGATACGAAGCCTTTAAAAAATTTTTATTAAACAGACTCAAGGCATAAGGCACTTTAATAAAATATATCAGTTTATAAAATATATTGATGACCTTGGCGAGCTCTATTCGACTATTTACTCTCACAGGAAGTAACAAACAAAATGTATGTACTACTTGTATATTTCATATTAAGAAATTTTGCTACATGCATTCAAGTGTTTTTCTTAAAATGATCCAAGCACTCCTTAACATCCAACTCGAAAACTCCCTGTATAGGGAACGGTAACGGTTTTGGACGTTGTTGCCATCGCAGTTAAAAAAAAATCCGCTTTGGTGTTTGCAATTCAACGTTTTAGTTTTCGTTTCTTTTGTTATTTCGTATGTTACCCGAGCAAACTTTTCATAAAGTTGATTCTTCACCAGAAAGTTCCGGTTTTGTTTTTATTTTAGCCGGAACTCGAATGACGGCTGTCTCGTCACACGGCGGTGGCCATTTTAAAAAATCAAGTCCGTGTTTATAAAAATATTTTGTGCCTCGAATTTGGGATTGACTTTGATGCTAAATGGCGCGATTAATTTTCAGCCACCTGTCAGAGGCCGTACACGTTTCAAGTTACGGCAGTCGCATAGGCATTATTAACGGCCAATCAGGGACATGGATGGTGAACGTCACGGGAGAAATATTCCAGATTTTTAATCGCTTCAACCGTCTTGAAGCCGAAGGTCAATGTAGGTATACGCATACCACAATTTTCATTGATATTTATTATAAAATTTCGCTTGTTGTTATGAAGCTATTGTGGATCCTTGAACGATATACAGGGTGTTTATTGGGAATTGGTTTATTTACAATCGTCAATTTTATTCTTCTCGTTCTTTTTACTTTGTGTAAATGATAGTAATTTATAATAATAATAATAATAATAATAATAATAATAATAATAATAATATTTCTTTACTAGCTTGGGATGCTACATACAAAATCAATTGTTTACAAAATGCATGAACAAACAAAATCATCAAACAACTATAACCAGAAATCAACATATAGGCAAAATTAAGATGAAACAGTGATTTATACTTAAAATCTAGACATCACATACTCTCTCAACATGGTTTTAAAGTTATTGAAATTATCAAAATTTTTCAAGGTGTTTGGCAGTTTATTATATTCGAAGAGACCCTTATACAGAATAAAATTTGTCATTTAGTTGGAGCAATACCTATCTACTAAAATAAAATTATTGGGGTTTCTCGTATAGTAACTATGCACGCTGTTAATATTTTACTTTATCACAGATGTAATCAGGTAATACTCGAAACAATATTTCAGCAGTTACCATTGTATTCTTTTCAGGGAGAAGAACTTTTAAGTTTTTACGCAGAAGAGTTATTCTTGTTTTGATATATTACCCCCTGAAAATAATTATCCTTTTCGATTTTTATTTGTCTTACAATTTGATTTCTAACTCTTTTAAATTCATTCCAACTGTCCACTGTTTTGTGGTAAACCGCTTTGCGATAAAGTTTACCTCTCTTTTCCATTAGTTCCTTAATGTCAACTGTAATCAATTTTTATCTGCGTATCCCTGATTGTAATTGTTTTCATAGGGCACATTAAATCGAGGACAGAACTAATATTATTTGTAAAATTAAAATTAAAATTAGTTGCCAGGATATTGACGTCCGCGGTTTTTTTTTTAATAATTAGCGTTTCACAGATACAGGCGTCATCCAATTTGTGTCTGTGTGCGCTTAAGTTGATAAGGCCCGTGTAACATTAAAAAAATGTATCGAGACCTTGACTTGTGGGTTTGTCCATAAAATCCTTAATTTTCAAACTCTTGACTGGAACCTTCGGCACTGCACTAACACACAATAACGCGTTCCCTGAAGATGCCAACTTGGTTGGCGAAACGCGCGTCGAGTACGGTTTGTGGTAAAACGCGTTATTGTGTATCCTTAATTTTGTGTAATCAGGTCTCTTCGCAAACTAAATACGAAATTATTTTGGACGCCCTGTATGTTAATAACTGTTGCAAACACAAAATTAGTAAAGGTTAAGCGTTGAAAAGATCAAAAACTAAACACTACTTTAGCCTTGGCAACTACCAACTATTTCGTTTCAAATGGAATACCCTTTGGATTAATGCTGATTAAGATAGGCCTTTGAAAGAGGAGTTCAATGATGGGGTTTAAAAGCAACGTTCATCTTCATTATTCGTCCGATACTCCTTGGTTATTAAAATAGATACTCTCGTCATATATTGATTTTGCAAAACTTTCATTAGATATTTTTACAGTGTGTAAGTTCCATGTCATTTTTCATTTGTTTTTCATAGTAACGCTAATACTTTATCAAAATTCTTAATTACACACAAATACACTTCCTACCATCATTAGTATAAGTTTTGAATCAATGAATTTTTTTTCGATATCACCAATTGCTTTTTGCATCGTCCTAAGCACTACGGCATTATATTTTAATTATTGGTGATGGTTTAATTAATACTAAACCTAAGAGTTGTTTCACTTTGTTTACATTAGGAAAACTTGTGGAATGTTTTCCAGCTATTCTGAGGTTGTTATCATTTCCGAGAATACCACTGTTGGGGATTTATTAAATTAGTGAATACCTTCTTAACTTCGTTAAAAATCTCCTCTAATGTAGTGGCTCTCTAACATCATTAGTCATCACTTTTATATGTCAAACGACAGTTCATCTCGACGAACTAATTTTCGTAAATTATTTTTTTAGGATACAAAAGACGGGTTAGTGTCAAGTCTTAACACTAACCGAATTCGAAATAACATGATATATTTGAGTCAGCTTCTTCAAAACCTTTAAAAATAATAATAATAAACTGTCTTTATTAAAAATCAAAATATTACAATATACGTTGTAATACGAGAGGGGCGACATTGGCAAATTGCGCTCTTCCATGTATTGTGGGGAGCGACGTTATAGCATAAGGTGTTTCATTAAATATGCGTTATAGCTAAAAGATCTCTGGAAACCTACCGAAGTGTGTCTAGGAACGTAATATCCCAAAGAATGACGGGTGTCTCGATTATGAATATGATTTCCTCCTCAAAGTTTAACAAACAAGAATACTTGTTTTTTTTTTTTATGAGTTTACACCCAATTACAGAAAATATATAAATAATAGAAAAATAATGAAAATACAATACAAAATACAAGGAAGCTAATTGCTCGCACTCGTACTCTAGGCAGTTATAAGCTCTGCGCATGAATGAAAAAACAGGCAACAATCTGACGAAGTGTATCCGCATCCGCATTAATATCACATATGTCCATGCATATGTCCTAGGCATAGAAAGATGACATGTAGTCCTCAATCTGACTTCAATTCTGGACACGTAAAATTTTACTTTGGTTAAAAACCACTTCAGCCACTCAGAGTTTAAGGAATTATGATACGGCCAAAGATATAGTGCATTTATCGCTTTGACAGATTTATATTCTGCATGGCGCAGGTGTTGCCTTAGATGAACCGTAAAGAGTATTTGAAGAAACTTGAAATATTTATTTGCAACGTAAATGAACCGTTTTAAATTTGATTAAGCATTTATGCTACGAAGTATTTTCGAATAAGTAGAAGCGTTTTAATTTAATCAAAATTATAGTATGTTCTTATGTATTACGGATGTATTTGAATGTGTATTTATGTACCTGATTCTAGAGCTTTGACCCTGCGAGGCTGTTTTCACTGGATAGTTCAAACAGTAAGGGTAAGTACTTGTACTCTATTTATGTCACAGGTAAGTTGAAAAATAATCATTCTTGTCTTGTGTGCCTGTCGATTAACAGCATTTTACTTTTTGCATTTTTGTGCCTTCTACATAGTTCTTCGATTTGTAAACAACAACAAGTCTTTTTTATGACTATAGATTATATTCGCATTAGATTAAGGGACGTCACATAAATACAGATAAATATTTTTCAAAGAAACTTATACAGGGTACTGTAATACTTTTTACCAAACTTCTGGATTCCTCCTGCGTCGGTTTTTGCTGAGTCGAAATTGCGACTTTTCGCCTATCATCATGTTGGCTTCTTCCGAGCTTGACTGAAACTGTTTCAGTCAAGCTCTGAAGAACCCAAGGCAAGGCACATGTTCAATGGAATTAAATATACAGTGGTAAGGTGGAAGGCTTAAAACTGTATGCCCTAGATTTCTTGCATAATTATCACAGACGTATTCCTTTTGTAGGTTCAAGCTTTGTAGAACCTCAATTAACTGCTTTTTGGTATAATCTTCGTAAAAATAAATGTCGTTATAATACATGTACTTTTGGATTGTTGCTTTTGTGTCACATGAGGAAGGCGTTTAAGTCAACTGTCTAGTGTGATAACTTGCATTGTCCATTACAATGACGCTATTAGGAGGAATGTTTGGAACTAGTTTGTTTTTAAACCAACTTTCAAATAAATCAGCGGTAGTGCCGTCATGATACTCCGGAGAAGAATCTTTAATATTTTTCGAAAACAGAGAAAGTCCATTTGGAATCCAACCATCTTTAGAGATAGCATGCAAAATACTTCTTTTTGATGGCACGTTTGTTTTACACTTATCAGTTGAGTCAACCCAACCCTTTTCCGGGGTATCATAAGTGTCGAACCAGGATTCATCTAAGTAAATAATTTTCCTTTGTTGTTCTCTGTAAATCCTATTTTTTTCTAGATATTCCAGTCGCCATTTCCGCATTCTAAAAGATTCCATTATAACTTGGCTTTTGTCAAGTTTTTTAAATCTAAAACCCATGCGTTGAATACACTTCCATAAGGTAGTTCTGCCACATTTAACACCGGTTTCATCTTTTTCATGCCTCTTAATTAAGATATGTAATATAGGCACGCTTTGTTCGTCGTATTAACTGGTAAATTTTACGCCGTATTATATCTTGATCACTTTCATCGACACTCGAGGAAATGTCAGCACCGCTTCTTTTTTTCCTCGCTGAAATGGGATTATTTACAATTGTCCATACAGTTCATGTTGGAATTTTCGTCAATGTGGCCGTTTCTTCTAAAGATGCTTGCTTAATCGCACCACGTTCAATGAGGGTCAAATAAACATTGTTTATAACTTCCCTAGTCTCAATAGAATAGTGTTTTCTAAATTTGGGCGGGAGCATCTCCTGAGATACACTAGACTCGCATATATTTTGCATAATTCGGACACGATTCAACTCACGCTGTATTACACACGAAATAAGAATGATTACTAATAAACTTAAATTAAGTAGTATACCAAACCAAAGAATATTAAACACAGGAAGGTCTAAAATTATTTTCTATTACGGACCACAATTTAACCTGAATTTGAATTCCGGAACTTTAGGTAATAATCTTGTTGCATTGTATGTTAATGACCACCCTTGGATAATCCCATTCAATAGCAATTGGTCACTTTCTTATATCTATGAGAAGACCATACCCCTGTCGTGGGATGAACTACTAGGGAGCTAAACCCCTGGTATTGAACAACGACAACGATATTCCAACATTGTGAAGCTTGGATAATAAAATATAATGATCTATTTGATCAAATGCATTTTGAAAATCCATATATATCAATCATCGATTGACATAAATGTTGATTCAACGTTCCAGATTGTCAGAATTTGGAGGACAATTAATCAAAATTATAATACGCGTAACACGAATATCAGTAATAATTCCTAGTACAATTACGTCACCTTTC